TTAAAAGTGTTTGTTAGAGACAACTGGTTTTTGTTTATCAGACAAATTACAATTTTGGTGAAATTGTAATCGAATTTGCGCGAAAATAAGACTGTCTGAGTTGCGGACAAGAATCGCGGTCGATTTTTTTGCGCCAGCACGCGAACTTTGTGTGAATGAATGGAAGATTGTGAAGCACTTGAAAAGTAATTGATTTACTTATCAGAGCTAATCACCGCAATCATTACTGTGAATATACCAATTGTTAGAATTAACATTGCATCAAATGTAACGAAAGATTAAACCGAGATCTCCACTCTCTGCTTTTTTTGTAAATCAAAACTTCAAGGATAAGACACCCCAAGTTAAAGAAGCCTCTGAACTGATTTTGTTCAAAATTTCTTTCTTGCACTCTCGGATCCTTAAAGGTGATAATTATCTTCGGAAAAACGGACACCTCTCTTGAACGGACAATATTTTGGCCAACAGGGGCCCGGGTGTGCCAAAGTTTAGCACCACTTCCTTTTGTGTTCTTATGTCATACGTATATAACCCGAGTTTTTGTTCCCCATCCTCACCTACTTGACGAACCTTGCCTTTATTGTTTGCCCCCTTTCTTCCGAAACGTGATTGAAGCAGGCAATAGCTACCATATCAATAAAATGGGGTTCAAAGGTAAACGTGCAGGTTGCTTTCCTGGTAGCCACCTTCAGGCTACCTGCCTGTTTTAGAATTCTATTGCCTCTATTAACAAAGCGATGTAAACTTTCCTGACCCTTGTTTACTGGGTATGCTACTGGTTGTTTGTGGGTTTGTCGAGAGTCAAAAGACTTTCAAGCAGTTCGTCGGCATGCTTTTTACATGTGAAGACTAATTTTATTGGTAGCTTTGATCTTGTTATAGCATGCCATGTTATAAACTGCTTTCATTCTTCTTTTTGCTTACTTTTTTTCTTGGCAGAGGCTTCCTAGACCAGTCGTCTGGTAAGCTGAAAAAGCCGTAGAAGTTTCTAACCTATCACTTGTCGCTTTGTGTCTGCCGCGACAACGAGACTTCTTTCAGTACTCAAGGTATTTTCTTCATCGCTGTTGCCAAGACAAATTCAATAGTAACCTGAAAATCGGATAAAATTTAAGTTCTTAATTGATATCTGAGCAAATGAAATTTCAGAAACCTAGGTGCACGAGAGACTTGGCTGCATGATTTTTTCCTACCTCAGCTCCAAAACGAGGTAAAGAATCTGGTGTTAGCAGAATGATCTTTATTGGCGTAAAAGTTTTGACCTCGCATCCTCTGTTGCTCTGTTCATAATTTGTTTGACTTCTGGTAAGATTTCCGCACTGATTAAGTTGAACTCAGTGCAAAATCCAGCATTCAGTGTTGTCCTATGCAATTCATTAAAGTGCAATAGCATCATACATAATAAGGTAATGTATAAACTGATTGCCTTAGCAAAGAGATTTTCTTTTCATATAAACTTCAGATAGATGAAGCAGCTATCTCGTATTCATGTTCCCTTTTTTCCGTCAAAGAACTATGGCAGTTCAGTCTCCTACAGACTGCTGTCTTGATTGACTATCACTTGGGGGGGGGGTGTACAATAAGATATTCGGGGCAGTATGGGGGGACTTGTTTACTAAATGCAAGTCTTTAGAATTCTTTGAAAGGTATCCAAACGATATAGGTTTGCCAACAGACGCTTTTTACTGTGTGGCACCCTCCACGCTCCCCTCTCGCGGAGTACTTGCCCCAAAACCGCAATCCACGCTAAATGTACTGGTTCAGTACCCAACATGTTCATGGCCCGGCAGTATGATATGCTCCGATTAGGCCCACATCCCTCTTACGCTAAAATTACTTCTGATACCCAATGCATTATATGAATATGCCACCCTGTTAAGCTATAGGCCCTTGAATAAACACAATGCGTAATACTTCTTAGACACTGTAAGCCTCAGGAAACTGAGCCTCTTAGTAAGGGACCTTTAATTGCAGACAGATATGTTGCTGTTTTGGTCCTAAGCCGGATCATATAAATTTAACGCGGTATAAATTCATCGAAATCTGCTTTCTGGCCGTAAAATCCCTCCTCTCGTAAAATTGATGCACGAAAAGGCAACCTGATCGATTAGTGTCTCAAATGCTCAGATATTATTAAGATTTAATCACGATTTGCATTGTATTGTCTATCACGGTACTTCTAATGTCCAAGGCTGCCGCTTAGTTGGTACACAGTGCCAAGCAGTGGCGGATTTAAGGGGGGCAACTAGGGGCAGTTGCCCCTCCCTCATCGACTTGAAGCAAGTCTGGCGCCCCTTTTTTGGAAATTGTGCGCCTCTTTTGAAGAATGAGAAACAGATGAAAAAGGTTCTTGGACCGATAGGTTAATTTGCTTCAAGGATTACCCCAAAAGTTATGTTGTTTATTCTGAAAAGGTATCTGAAATTGTTGTATACAGCGCACTCTCGTAACCAATTTTTGAAAATTTTTCAGCGCCCCCACTACCAGCTGTCCCTCCTTCAAATTTGCTCTGGATCCGCTCCTGGTGCCAATCGAACAGGTTTCAACACTGACGGTCGGCTGGATACGCTTCATCTCCACGTTCCCTTTAGTTGATACCCCCTCCCCCAAATACTTCGAAGATATTTTACTACAAAATTTGCAATCAGAGGCTATACTATCACTCGATGTAACACAAAATCGCACTCCTTTTATTTGGTACTGTTTTAATAACTTCGAACAAAGAATCTTTGATCAAGATCCGGAGTTAGACAATCCTCTGCAAATCAGAGGGTCGGGAAGAGTGGCAAAGAAATTATTCTCGTTACTCCGCAAAGAAATAGAGATCTGCGGGTTTTTAAGTAGAAGAAGCCTGCTATTTAAAGGGCCACATTAAAGTCACTCTGTGCTTACCACTCTCGCCCCCCTTACTCTTTGGACTCAAATGTCAGCTATTTTATTTGAAAAAAAGTGTTTACGAGGACAGATGCGGTAACAGTACTACAGTACCCTAGTTTTTTAACAAGGTTGAGTTAGCGAACTGTTATGCTAGTTGTGTTTAAAGCCGAAGTGCTTTTTTGTTAAAGAGACCACCTTGATTTATGCTTTGATTTTCATAGCTTCAACCCTAACCCCAACCACAACCCCTCTTATATTGAATCTTTGATATCTCTTACTCGCTTTGGGGAATCCCTCTGTTTGACCAGCCGACTATTGGCAATAAGACTGTGTCTGATTAACATTCCAAACGAATGGGTTTGTGCCTCTTCGGGTGACATTTTTCATTAGCTGGTTTTTTCATTTGGATTTAGTTTGCTAAACCGACTGTGATTGAAACGGTCACCCTTACCTAATCCTATAAACCATAACATTTCCCGTTGATTCTCGTCCAAAAGAGTTTTTGTACCGGATTCTCGTGTTTAGTAATAAATCCAATGGATTTATTATGTAATGAATGGACAGCGAAAGAACGAGGAATGAATGACCACGACAGTCTAGCAATGAACCATTTCCTCAGGATTTTCAGCATTTAACTTAACATTAACCATGGTTATAAAAGGTTTGTTTATAAACACAGCAAATTGGATAGCATTTTGTTTAGTTTAGGGCATTCGATGGAAGGAAACGCACATTTCACAGAAATTTTTTGTTTGACCAGTAATGGGAAAGTTAGTAAACTGAACGAGGCAGAGAGCAAATTCATTGATCTAAACTTTGATTCGTTTACTAATATGTAATCGAAATTAGTCTGCTGCCGTTAAATATTTGTTATTCTGAAACCCACGTTGGAAGTTTGAAAGGACATATAGCTGCGAAAATAACAGTGGGAATAATTACCAGAAATTTTTGTCAAAGAAACAACGCTCAGATTTCAATGAGAGAGTTTGACAATGTTTTTCTTCCTTTTAAGCATTCAACACATGACTCGATTTTCACATTAAATCTGTCGTAAAATGACAGTTTAGTTGAAGCAATAGTGTGTTTGTAAGAACTATACTTAAAAGAGCATTTGGTCTCGTAAATATCTAGCAAAGTCTTATTGAGCGCTTTGAGCCAAGAAATTTCGCCAACCCCTGTAAAACCAAAACTAAACTACGGACGGAAAACTCTTATTGTAAGATTACTTGCGAATTTATTCACGATATTATGAATCGTGGGATAACTTGCGAATAAAGGCTTGTTTAACTGCTAAAATATTTTTAGGGTCGCGTTAACAGCGTATCTTGTTCGTGATATGAAACAACGCCAGATACAGGATCATTACAAAATCGTATTCAGATACTTATTTGAGCAAAGCCCTTTCTAACTCCATTACGTGTTACCCCGGAAATATGTACACATTTATCCCAGTATAACTCCCCGTCGGATGTCTTACAGGCTTCTACTTTTATGGTTCAAATACGGACTTAGGGAGGCGATCCGAAGGTGGCTTATTTAAGTAGATATTCGCGCGTTTAAGCGCAGATTTGCCGTTCTCAATAATACGAGATGGATAATGTATTACTGAATGCAAAATGGATATAATATGTCTCATCTTTAGTTTTGGAATGGGCTTTACTTATAAATGACAATCTATCCAATTTAATGAAATCGTTTCTTTTTTCTGTGATGGGCAGTGATACCGATCTCAATTAACCCGTGTCTATTGCCTTCGGGTGAAGATCAAATTAAGCAACTCACGAATTTGGGAATTCAACACGAACATAGTCACCGTCTTTCGTGTCTTTCGCTCTAGAATCGTTTAAAAATATTTGTATGGATCTCCCACGGCAAAGAAGCAATAGCCGTGTAGATTTTTCAAAAAGATACTCTTCTAGATATTTTGAATGTTGTATTTCCGTAAAAATTATTAATGTTATTACTTTTTATTCTTAATCCACCTTTCTACCACAAAAGTTGAAGTGAATTTTTCACAACAGTCCCCTGTGCTATACGTAACGAAATTCCTTCGCGCGGCAACTTTTCTACATTTGTTTACTGTTATTGCCAAATGTCTTATACTTATGTTTCCTTATTTGCAGACGAAGAAAGCGATGCGGATGTCGACGTTGTGACGGTAGATACAAAAGCAGCGGAGATGAAGGCTCTGCAACAGTCAGTGGAAATATTAACTCCGCCAAACACACCCGACTCAGAGCCAACAGAAAATACAAAGATTTTCAATGACGCAGCCCCAATGGAAGTTGTCGTTACAACAAGAACTAGCCAATCGCCTGCTAACGACAGCAGTGTATCAGAGAACGTCAGTAAGCGATCGAAAGAAGTCACTGCACTAAGCGAACGCTTTTCCCGCGCGTCACATAATGTCCTCGAGAGAAAACGCAGAAACGAGCTAAAAGGAAAATTCTACAGTTTGCGAGACTGTATTCCAGATCTTTCCGGCAACAAGAAAATACCGAAAGTGGTTATTTTGAAAAAGGCCATCAGTTACATTGAGTCGATCAAAGGTGAAGAAAGCACTTTAAAAACAGAGTTGCAGCGACATAGGAAGACAAATCAAGAACTACGGAGGCGTTTGTCTGCTATTCTTAAAGATAAATCGAGATAAGTTGATTGGCTGGCTCAACAATCCTTGTTTCCTGATAGGTTGCAATGTGTAAAAAATTACGGTGCTAGCAAATTACCTATGTTGTAATTTGCTTAAGACACTGTAAACTATCATCAATAGTTTCTGGACCTGGGTGCTGCCTCGTCTTGGTGTCTTTGCCTTACATCTGCTGCCTCGTATTGGTGTATTTGCTTTACATCAACTGCCTCGTATTGGTGTATTTGCCTAACATCAGCTGCCTCGTGTAGAGAATGAATTTATCCAGCTTAATGCTTAGCACATTGATTCTGTAAATCACAGTAGTGCATAGAAAACAGACGATTTTAGATCTAACCATCTTTGCAGCACAATTTGTCGTGTTCACCAAGATACGAACTGTCCTCTTGGTTGAAGAATCCAAACTAATCTTCATATTTGCTGGTTTATATAATATTCGTGAACATTTTCTGAATATATGCCATTTTGATAATTTTTGTAAGTTTTTAAACAACTTTGTAGTTCCATAGGATCATTGTTAATCGTTTAATCCAAGTATGTATCATTTGTAGTTAGGCATCGAACCCGCCTGTTAGTTTGAATTTTAAATCTTGATATTGTGTTAATCAGTTAAATGTACGTAACCACCCTGTAGAGAGTAGTTTGTAAGTTACCATTAGAAGTTTACGTTTAGCCGGGTGTCCCCCTTTTTTGGCCTTGAACTTTTTATACTAGTGTATGGCCATCATAAGCGCTTCCATGTGGAATTATTTTTTGTTTCATGTCGTTTAGAAGTTAGTTTTGTTTTTGTTTTTTTGTTGCGGCACAAACTGCGAACCCCCGCACAATCATTTTATCGAAGATGTTTTAGGCCAAGGCTTCCATAAATGCTCCAACGAACTAACCATTTTCGAACTTTGTACGAACTATTTTCATTATATGATTTCATTAATGTGGACAATTTTGATAAATTAAAGCTTTTAAAAGAGTTTTAATTCTTAGCAAAGAATTATTTTGGCTGTTCTGGAACAATTCCTCCTGTCATCATATGTCGACAAGCCTAATGCGGGGAAGGGGCTGTATACCCCCTATATTACGTATGCCAAAATACGCATTTGCAAACAGTTTATTGTTTTTTCTAGTATTTTTTACCACGTATAATCGTTGAATGTTAGGATTGTCTAGTTTGTTTTGTGTGTCGCAGTTAGACGTAGTTATTTGTAGAATCGTGCATTTAAGAATGATCGTATAACCGAATATATATATAAATATATGAATATATAAATATAGTAGATAGACTCGTATTTTATTTAACACATCTAGTGGCGGTGCTGGCTTAAGGAATTGTTGCATAGAGTATAATGACCCTCGTCTTTGAATTGTCTTGTTTTGTATACCAAATGGATCCCTACCTTAATTTTTTGTGGTATGTACAAGAAGTGACATGACGTTTGCTTGCAATGTATTTGAGTACTGCACATTGGCAAATCGTTGTGGAAAACCGCTAGTCAAACCCAGATATTCAAGCTCTTTTTTGAGGTATGTCTAAAACTAATGTTGACCAAACATGCATGGGACATTTACCCCTAAAAATCCCTCCGTCAACGCCGCCATTAAACCAATTGTGATAAGGCTACCCCGAAACTGTTTAAAACTTAATCAAAAAAGGATTTAAATCCTTCGGTTTGCAGTAACTAATGTTATTGCCACCTATGTTGTCTTGAGGATATGTCTTTTGGTATATTAGATAAGAGCTTTTGAGTTTGGGATAGTTTTATGACACTTTATTCATTACCTCCGGGAACAGTGTTGCTTTACCATCGGTAACAGTACTGCAATACCCTAGTTTTTAACAAGGTTGAGTTAGCGAACTGTAGTGCTAGTTGTGTTTAAAGCCGGGGGACTCTTTTAACATGCACATGCAAGCTTTTATTTAGATTATTGCTATAAATATTTGTAACTTTGTAAAGACCATCTTTGTAATTTTTCTGTTAAGAACATTTTGACGTATAGTAAAGACAAGTGTGGTTGGACGAGGTGTGGAATAAAACAAAGAAAAAGCTAGAAATCTTGTTGTTTCTATTTGAAATCTCACACTGACTTTGAGATCATATTCGGGTATGTCAGGTCTTGTGGCTGAAAAATTAAATTTAATTTGAATTGGGGATTCAAAATGTTAGGCCTACACACTTTTTTTAGAGTACTGTTAATAGGAGAGCATCGAGGTTCGATTTTACAAAACAATTAGAACAAGGTAAGCACATACCGACCCTCGGAGGAAAAATCGAAGTGTGCAAATTTACTCTCATAACACAAGCACCGCGGAGCGTTGAGAAAAGTGGGGAGGGGGGGGCGAAAACCGTATAGAAAGAGGCTTTACTAGTATTTTATTACTTAATATTTGGTATTTTTAGCAAAAAGTAGAGGCGAAAGCCCCCCCCCACCCCCTCCCCTGCTCCGAGGTGCTTGTAACAACAGAAAAAAGCAAATATTATCAGCTAGTCAACCTTGCATCTAAAAAAGCAATGCGAAACGGTTTTGTAGTGGATTTAGAAACAATTTGAACATGCAATTAAAGAAATTTTAAGGTTGAAATAACTACATTGCTTAGAATTTTGGAGCCTCCAATTATCCGAAAAATAACAACATTGAAACTTTGCAAAAACTGTCTGGTTCTTATAAAAATATCTAATGGGGGCTCAGTGAATTTGATGAAAATAAGGGAAAGCGAGCTTGACTCCGCAGTCCATCTGATGGTTCTGGTGATTCCAACCTAGCAATGATCTGATGGTTGCCTGTTTCAGTTTTGATAATTGAAATGAGAAATAATTGCAGGTTTTTGCAACTCCGTAATCTCAGAGCAAATTTTGTGCATCTTAAGTTTGATTTGAGATTGTTAAAATTTCATATAATTCAACAACTTGACTAAATGATCAAAGACAAATGACACTTTATAATGTTTCCGGATGCACCAAAGGTCCAGCCTTGAGTTTTGACGGTTCGGATGATCTATCTTCTATGCTCAAATCGCCTACCATTTTCACCTAAGATTTCATGATCGTCAAAGGGACTCCCAGATTTCAACTCTGGCAATAAAAGTTCCTGTCTCTCTATGTTGAAATTTCTCTTAGCGTAAACAATAGGCAGGTATCGCCTGCAACATGTTTTTTGTGAAAGGACAATTGTATGGAAAATGAGAGTACATCTCTACAATGTTGTCTCGTCTATGCCACAAGCTTTGAGTTGTCCATAGAAAAGTGTTCTGGCATACTGGTAGATTTCATAATCTGCAGCGTTGGCCTTTTTAATTCTCTCTTTTAATTTAGACGGAACTTTGCGCGCCGTAGCTCCGTCATATACACCAGGTTTTTCGTGCGGGACAAATTGAGAAAGTCGGAAATATTTCGGAAGCCTCTTTCTGAGAAGTTTCAAGTAGAGGTTAAAATGTTCAGTTAGGCCAATGGCGGCATAGAAGTGCTTCATGTTATATTTTGCCAGTTCAACAGCTTTTGCTGTTCCATTTTCACACAGAGCTTCTTCACCGCAAAAGAATCGAGTCATGACGTTGTTTTCACAACCTCTGTGCTGTTTTTCGAAGCATTCAGATAGTGTCTCATTGAATTCTCCAGTTTCCATCATCTCTCGAATCCGATTTTTGGGCCTATCTTTTGAATAACGCATGTAATGATAATGGGAAACAATCCGCTGAAATGGCTCTCTCACTTGGTTAATGTAAGTATATGATCGTTTGATTTTCATATTTGGACGGAAATAGAAATGCCCAGAGTAGACTCTACGAACCATAGATTTTGAGGCATATTTTTCAATGATATCAGGGTACGGAAAACTGTCTCCTGTTTTGTACCAGTCTTCGGTCGTTCCTGTTGAAAAAGCAGCCAATTTTAGAAACAATGATTGAACATGCTTCTTATTGATATTTAGTTGCCTAAACTTTGGACGAAGCATTTAACTTACAATAACAAACAGACTCTGAACTTTGTTGCACATCTGTGACATGGTCTGTGCCACAAGTCTGAGTGTTTTGCATGACTTACATGTTGTGTGCATGCACCTTCCATTCACAGAGAAGGAGTATGCCCAATTCAGAATCAAAGCTTTGAAAATTAGGTGTCAGGGTGCCATGCTAAGCTTTGTGATCAATGCCCCTTGGGGTTTGAGGGACTTCTGCCCCTTTTATGTTTCTGCACCTTTGCTAAAGATAACATCTGGTATGTATAAATGAAATATTTGATAATGCCTGCTTACCGATCATTATTCTGAGGTAACCTCTTTTCCTTTCTTCCAGTAAGTATTTGTTTATACTTGTGCTTGCCGTTTTGAAGATTCGATTATAAAGAACCAATTTTGGGTCTAAAGACTTGCATGATACTTTGTTAAAAAATAATAACCCATTCCTCTTTTTCTTTCTCTTGTTGGATCCCTTTCTGATGCTGATCCTGTCAATTTAACAGAATAATATTGCTAAATAGAACTTATTGCCATTAATGTTGCTTTGAAATATTTTTTATAACACAATTCATCAGAGCCTCTTTCAAGTGAGTCATCCAGCCTATAAACACCCCTACTATCTTTTTCCAAGCTCTTCTACTGCTCAACAAATATTTATTCTGTCACTCGAAATGAGTCCCTAGCTGGTTGTTGTTGCGTTTAGTCATTCCTAATACCTCAATTTATGCCAAATATGTCAAAACGATATATGTCCTCTGTGCCGAAAATCTTCGCCATAAATTCACTGAAAGATCCATGATTTCAGAGTATAGAACCAGAAACTGTGGAGACCTGCAAATTCCCAAAGTTAGGTTAGAGTATGCAAAGCGAGGTTTCTATTTCTCTGGTGTCAAAAACTGGATTGATGTCCCTAACAACATTCGAGAAAAAGAATCCATCGCTTGTTTTAAAAACAGGTTTTAGAGAGTATCTTTTGAACCTTCCACAGGACCCAAACACGACCCTTTGGTAGAGCAGCAATATGCAAATAGTTCTTTTTTTAATAGTTCTTTTTGTGTAAATAGTTCTTTTTTTGCTGAAAGGTATCTCATGTAAATAAATATTGATTGATTGGTTGAGTTTTCCAAACAATATATGTATAGATTTTTGTGAATCAAACTTACACCTAAGAAATAACAGTGCTGCTCAACCTATTGACAGGCTGTGTTTCTTTGCTTGCTCTTTCTAAATCTCAAGTGAAAAGCTGAATGTTATAATAATTATTTGATTTTATCTACCAAAACTTTATCAAATTTGCTTAAAAATCAGGTAATGGTTATTCCTTAATTGCTTCTGGCAGACATGCTATAGGGTTTCGCAAATCTAAATTTTTCAAAGATATCTAAGATAAAATTTTACCTTGTTTGGTTATGCTTGTCCAGATCCTGGCTAAGTGTGTTATTTTTACTTGAAATTGAAGAAATTGCCTTTTGTGTATAGTTCAATTTTATTGTTTTATATCCAATGTCCTGACGCTTTGATAATTTTATAGTTTCAGCTGTACCTTGCATTTCTATATCTTTCAAATCTATGTTGTTATTTGTCCTTTCTTTACTGCTTGCATAACTGGTGCTGCTCATAACTGATGACATATTACTACTCTTTTTATTTCCAATCACTTGTTTGTTTGTATCTTTTCTTTCTTCATAAATGTCAGTCTTATCAAGCAAGTCTGACACACTTGCATTCAAGCTACTCAATGCTTTGGAATTTTTAGCATTTTTCAAAAAAGAATCTGATTTATTCTGTATTTTGTTTTCATCTTCATTTGCAGTAGCACTGCCTTCTTCGTCTAAGTCATCTCCAATTATCTGCTCATAATCAGATTTTTTGTTTTGTAGGTCTAAATTTTCATTTCCCTGCAATATAGAACTCTTTATTTTGCCTTCATCATTAAGCAATGCAGAGCTTCCAGTTATGTTTTTTGGCAGGACATTTCTTACTGTGTAATTTTTTTCATCAATATAGTCAATAACTGCATCTCCTTTAAGGACACTTTTCTTAGTTTTTGGCAAGTCCACTTTGCCATACCTTTTCACACTTTCATACTGTCCTGTGCTTCCATAGTCAAGCACTCTGTTAAAACTAGTTTTTGCTTTACTTTCTATTGTCCTGTGGCGATTTGCAAACTGTTGCACTGAATTTTGGGAACTATCCTGCTCACTGAAACCTTTTCCACTTGTTTCAGTTTCCTCTCCTGAGCCTGAAGAATGATTTTCAGTATCAATGTTCTCTAAATATTGACTGTTATTGTCAGCCCTTGAAGCTAATGTTATTGTAGAATTTTGTTTTACAGTTTTACTTGTATTCTTAACTGTAATGTATTTTGTTGACACCTTACTTCTACTGGTTAGCTGGTTACCTTCCAATTTAATACCATTCTGTTTACTATTGATTGTTGATTCCACTGTTCCCTTAATTTCATTTTTTCTATAAATATGTTGCCCCAGCACTTTTTTAGTATCACCTGGTTTTCCCTCTTTTGTGCCATTCTGTACCCTGTTTGACTCATGTTCAGAATGGGTCAAGTTATCTAGCCTTTCAATGTTAAAGATAAATGTTGCTGATGAATTCAATGTTTTATTGTAAAATTCTGCTAATTCAGCTTTGGTAAGAGATCCTGGATCAAGTATTGTTTTATCAACCCTCTCGTATCTTCCAAGACCTAACGTAGTGTTAAACAGATCCATCAAATGTTTCTTTTGGCTGAGTTCCTGTCCCGTTTCATTGCCATATTTCCTTTGCTCTCGTACGAGAAAGTCTCCTTCCTTGTATCCCAGTGTTTTGTTATCAGTACCGGCATCAAGGCCAAGTAATTTTATCTCCTCTCGCTCCTTCTCTTCATCAAGTACTTCTTCCATGTCAACCCGCTCAAACCGTTTTAGCTCAGGGTTATTTGCATCATTTTTTTTGCCTTCTTTCGTCCGCCCATTTCTTTGCAATAACTCTTGCAAGGTATCTACGATGTAACAGTAATCTATCTATAAAAACGAGTATGTAAAGCATGGATCATCATATTGTAAAACGTCTCCAAACATTTTTCTGTTTGCAGCTATACTCAAAGGTAAAAATGAGAGAAATATCATGCCATTATTTTCAAACGCGAAAGTTTATTCTCCCGAAAGATCATTTTTTCACATTTTTCGCGAAAACTGATTTCCAAAATTTTGCGCTTTTCTCAATTCATGAAACTTTCTTCCCGCGAATTTTTCTTCTCTTAGAATACTAAATTAAAGATTTACTTGATGAAATGTAGATTTAATTGGAAGACATAAGTAATAATGATAAACTGTTTTTGTTGTTTGTGAAGCAATACAAGTATTTCGATAGATCTTCACTTACCTATAGGTTTGGGAGTGGTGAACACTTCCTTTGACAACCATTTCACATGACCAGAGAGCAAGGCGCTGTAACAAACATGACATGATCAGTAAAGGACATTCAACTGCAAGATATGACAGTAATTAGTACTTTCTGCGTATCCATTACCCTAATTTTTAATTTACACCATGACCCATTCCGTATGTGTTGATTTGGATCCTTAAAGCCTAAGAACCCCTCAAGAGTGAGACCTTCAAAGGGTCTCCTTGGATTTTTCCCACCAAAAGGGACATGATCAAGACGATAGATAGTTATCTGCGCATTATTTCGCCTTTGAGTGTGTTTTAGTTTCTACGGTTCGGTAAGAGCATAATTTTTCTTATTACTCCGATACATTTAAAGGGTTTGTCGTTGGGTACTGTGATGCCTCTATGTACCGAACATATGATAAACGAGGGTTACCGTTACGGGGAGATTTCCGTTACTCCGAGGTTGCTTGTATATGGCTTTGACCGCTGGTTAGAAATAAGCTGAAAAGTGGCTGAAGAGAGGCGAGAGATGTTAGAGAGAGGCTATAGTGAAGCAAAAAGTGATTAGAAAGAGGCTAGAGAGAACGAGGCTCTCACCTTTCATTCTGCTCCAAATAGTTTGCAACAATTGCTATTCTACTTGGAGTGTCTTCTTCAAAATAAAAACACTGGTTCGGGTGGCTCTCGCAGTATTGGTACAGTGATATAATGAAGATTATTGCGACAACCAGGCAAACGAAAACATTCTTTTTAACGCTGATTCGAAGCATGCCGTTTCCTTTGCATGGTCTAAAAGAGAAATCGAGAATATTGATAGTCCACCGATATTCGAGGTTCAGGGTTGTAGCATGGACATTAGGAGCACCGGCAGTAGCGTAGCCAGGGTGGTGAGAATGGAGGATGCAAAGGCGAGTTGGCGAGGGAAAAATGGGGGTCCACACCTCAAGGAATGCCAGAAAACGCCTCTTTTCAAGGAGATTTTTTGCCATCTGCGAGGAGGGGGGGCGTCCGCCTCCTCTTTTCCCTTCCCCTTACTATGCTACTGAGCACCAGCCCCTGTAGCCCTCTAGTGTTATGTACCTATAAATGCTATCCTGAAATCCATTGTAAGCAGCATCCTTGTTAACATCATTGAACCACAGAAATCATATACTTATATTTGACTGAAAATTCAGGCCATTTTTAAACTTCAAAGTTGCTTTCGGAAATAAATGATTCAATTGTTCTGCAGGTCCTGGTTTTTATCTGGTTTTTTCTGGTTTTTCCTCTATGTGCTCATTCTCATGCTTTTCTGCCCTGCCGACGTCCCGTATTGTCCTGGGCTTTTATTCTCGACAAGGCTCAGAACTATTAAGCTACTGCATTCCTTTAGACTGTGTCTATTATATAACCTAAACAGCACCACCCAATCCAAAGTCCCATAGTGATGTTGACCTTATTGCCAGCCTTTTAAACTCCTATGAACATAGCACCCCTTTCATTACTTGACCCTTCTTGTGTTGTCTTACTTAAGAATCTCTAGTTGTGCCAGAATCGTACCCACATCTCTGAACCGCTCAAGGGTTGCCTTTGTTTCGACTGTAATTTGGTTTGCAATCACTTAGCTGTGAAAAGCTTCATGTTTTATTTTAACAACGGGTGCATATTCATTCTGAAAAGTATCTTTATTCTCTTTGCCACATCTCTCGAAATCTCAACATTATAAAGCAACTGTGCTTTGATTCTTATCTGTGTGAATGTTGATGTGATGGTGTCTTTGCTGGACACGTGACAAAAACACAGAAGACAATCCAGTGTGTGTTTTTTGAAAGATTAACCTTCCAGACTGGGGGATGGAGGTCAACTGCGTTGTAGCTATACTGCGTTGTAGCTTAACCTTCCAGACTAGGGGATGGAGGTCAACTGCGTTGTAGCTATACTGCGTTGTAGCTTAACCTTCCAGACTAAGGGATGGAGTTCAACTGCGTTGTAGCTATAGTGCGTTGTAGCTTAACCTTCCAGACTAGGGGATGGAGGTCAGCTGCGTTGTAACTATACTGCGGTGTAGCTTAACCTTCCAGACTAGGGGATGGAGGTCAACTGCGTTATAACTATACTGCGTTGTAGCTGAACCTTCCAGACTAGGGGATGGAGGTCAACTGCGTTGTAGTTTTCCTTTTCAGACTTCAATACACTTCCTGGGGGAATGTAAACAACAATAAAATTTTCCGACGAGAGCATAGATGAAGAGAAATTTAGATGTTATTACACCTACCGTTTTCGCGATATCAACGACCAAGTAAGGATCTTCTGTCACATCCCCGTTAGCTACGCCCTTGAATATATAAACTTCCCTTGTATAAATCTGTAGTATATGCAAGGTTGTTTGTTAAACATCTTCACAAACCTCCCAGATGACCTGTCTGACAAAAGCTAGTTAAGCAGTTTGAAACATTTGGGAAATGTAAGAAGGATTGTTGTTCGCCTGTTTGTGAGTATGTGTTACATTCGTGTTAAATGCCTCTGTCTCTTGCTATCGTGCCCTTCCTTGTTCTTGATGCAAAAGCTTTACCCATCAATTTATGTCACGAAATGATATCATGATATTTTCGTTTTGCTAGCTACTGTATTCCCTGATATGACAAGGTCAACCAGGTTTCCTGGATGTCGTTCGTTGTCATGCAGACTCAAATTGCCCCCTTTAGAAGCCTCTTCAGGGCGCTCTATGCATTTGTAGTTTTTTTGTGTTGTTTAGAATAAGAACCGATGTCATACATATGTCACATCATTTGTTCCAAAACGAAAGACCATCAAGTCTTCACAGAATGAGAACCGATGTCATACATATGTCACATCATTTGTTCCAAAACGAAAGACCATTAAGTCTTCACCGCACTACAACGTATAAACTCTACATAACTGTCAGTGTATTTTCGGTCTACCTCCTTGAATGTTGTATTTGTTTTTTTCAAGCTTGTCGAAAATCTATTCTCAGCTGCGCAAAACTGCTTCGTTGCCACTCCTAAAAGTGGCTGTTCTTATCACCCTTTCTTAAAAGGCAAGCCAACATTTCGACTTTGTTGACAAGCAATTTGTTTCATGTGCTGAAATATTTTCCCGTAACCACGCCCCCTCTTTTTGCCGATGAAGCAACTTTTATGAACATCACAAAACAAACTGACGATGATTTTGGCTTCTGTATTGTTGATACTGTTCTACGTGATCTCAGAAATTGTTGGTTAAGACTTTAATACATCACTGCTTTATGGTTCCACAATACTAGACATAGTAGGAATTGACATATGGTATATTTCACACAAACATGCTAGCCTTGTTTCATATGTATCACTCTTCATAATAGCTATTGTATCTCTATTATCTCCAAATAATACTTAACTCCGAATATAACCTTAAGTTGAGCCACAGAATAGATATTGACTCTGTGGTTGAGCTTCCTAGATATATTGATGGACTATTTTAAGTTTGCTTGCCCAGCTGTATTGACAACCCAAAACCGTCTTTCAAGTTCCATTTTTTAAACTTAATTTATTTCTTTATGTGCCAGTTTGTGCTTCTGGGAATAATTGTTTAAAATTTTCAATTTATTAAAGTAATCATCGTTACTCTCTGCCAATTAGTATTACGATATTATTTTTTCGATGAAATGGTTTTTGGTTGCAGCTGTTAATGAAGTAGGTCGTCTGGAATCGCAAAAAGAATAAAATTACCTTTATTTTGGGTCCTTATAACGCATTTTTCCGGTTAGGCCGCAGCTCCTTCAATCTGACTCCCTCACTGCTTGTTGCTCAGAAAATCAAAGGTCAATGTTTTGTTTAGACATAATTTTGCTCAGAAATTGCACAAAGCCACCTGTCATCAACAGGTCGAAAATCCAGCTCGCATTTTCGCCAACGTGCGGGTTAGAGCGAACTTGCGGTCAAGCCCATTCATTATCCAGTCTGCGCCTTCGCAGTTACTGCTCTCAGAGTTTAGCAAAAATTAAGGGTCACGTGACCAACGACAATGGAAGGTGATCGAACCAAGATAATTCAAAGGCGCTTCTATACCATTGATTTAAAGATTCATAACAGACCACGCAATGCTTTGGTTTTTTTCCGAAGATTCATGGATTTTTTGAAATGGCAGAAGTATGGACGAAAGATTCATTTCTTGAGTCTGGCTCTTTCTGTCGCCTTTTCTTCAACTTTAAGCCAACCCTATCTTTTGTTCTTGGTTCAGCCTCCTTCACAGAGCCAACTCTTTTGGCTAGGCCTTTGTCTGTGGCTAGGCAGCGGGTTTTTAGAATTATTACTGCTACTAATTCGTGTCGTGAGAGCCCTTTTGTGTTTTTGAGTTCATCTTTCCTTCTATCTCAAACAAATCATATTCAGCCTTATAAAAGTGTACGGGGATAACATTAGATAACACACAAATTTGGGCTTTTCCCGTTCCTTTTTGGACACATATTTTTAAAAACTATTTTTATAGAGTTTCTCCAATTTTTAGCAGTTAGTTTAGCAAAAAGTGTTCGTTTATATTTAATGATAGCTACCAAATGCAACTTATTGGCTGCAGTTGTCATCATATTTTGCCAGTGTAGTTGTTTGTTACACCTTATCAATACTGTAATACGTTTGTTCAAATTTAGGCCTAAATAATTACAAACATCATCGAGTATATCTTTTCAAAACGCCACCATTTATAAAAGCAAAATGCCATTCTTTGAAACTTATCACCAACTTTGTGTAATGTTTTCATTATATTTTGCCAGTATAGTTGTTTGTTACACCTTATCAATACTGTAATACGTTTGTTCAAATTTAGGCCTAAATAATTACAAACATCATCGAGTATATCTTTTCAAAACGCCACCATTTATAAAAGCAAAATGCCATTCTTTGAAACTTATCACCAACTTTGTGTAATGTTTTCCCCGTTGTTTACACGGGACAAGAACACAGTGAAGTTATGCTTGCTGTAAGCTCAATGTTTCTGAAATCAATCGGGTCACCCCCTACGCATTCATGGGCACCAACCATGTCATAAGTTCACTGACTTGGCAAAACACAATCGCTTGTTTCTCTGTTCGACAGTTTTCACATTTTAGTGAAATTTATCATTTTTTTTTACGGAAGAATTTACCCTTAAAGTAACAATTTAATGAAGGGAGGTTTTTGGTGGTGAGTAAGCAAGTTTAATATACTGTCTTATATCTAGCTTCGATTTCGCATATAACGACTATATAACACGGCCTTTTTCTAATCGATAATTTCACTTCAATCGTGATGCGTTAATTTTTTAGAACTGAATATGATTCTATTATTGATCTTTCATCCCTGGTAAGAATGCCAGTTTCCAAATTTTTTACTATTTCTAGCTAATTTTTCAATCATCAATAGTTGCAGGAAAATTCTCTGCTGAAGTTCTTAAAGCACAAGTTTGAAAATTCTTTTAAATTTGGGGGGAATTTAATCCTATGTGCGATCAGAATCATTATCCCTGCTGTAGAAATTTTAGAAGTTGGATTCGGTATAACTCGGAAAACCTAACTAGAAAAGGGCATTCTGGCCATAGAAGAAAAGCATTTTAGGCCACACGAACAAAAAACTCGGAATATTCACTGCGCTGTCACTGCATTATACGATGATTATTCATTTTATATTTTATGAAAAAATATGGAAATCGAAACAGTAAAATGTGTTGTCTACAAGCAGCGCGAATGAAAATAAATTTGACCCTACAATTGCTTGTCCAATTATCAACCCCATATTATTCATACATTATCTTTAAATTTTCCAACCATATCTGCCTAAATTAGCTTTGCATATAAACAAAACACGCGGCGTTTATTTTTTGATTTAATGATATAAAAATTTGAATATAAAGTTATATAAAGCATTAATGGTAATATCGTATAATAATGGCTTCCTCATGTCCCTTTGAAAGAAAGCATTTGTCCTTTGAAGGATTAAATCTAGCAGGCACCGTGTTTTTATTCTGTGTATACAAGAGGCCTTAAAAATTTTTAATTGGCAAGTTCTTCTTGCCTCCGACATAGGAAACAAAGTTTTTGAACTCATTTGAAAATTTATTTGCATCTGTTGGATGTATTTTTACATCTTATGTAGACCAAGTTCTATATGCAAGAGGCCTTTGCTCTACTTCTCACGTACGCTAACTTACAATAATTACATAATAGAGATATGATAATTTATGATAAATTACCTAAGCGATTCAGAAAGTTGAATAGTATCAGTTGGCTAACCTCGATAAAGGTGAAATGTTCTGGAATCAATTTGTAAGGAACCTCGTTCTCTGCTACTCATTTACACTAGGTTACATTAATTACACAATAGCGATATGATGACCTTCTCAAAATCTTAGAAAAAACAGTGTAATACCAACCTCAACCAGATCATGGGCGCATTATCCTGTGCCGTTAGAAGATCTGGGATCCAGTTTATTGTTAAAATAGTGTACCCAAATAAAAGAGGCGTGTGTCCGTTTTCTGTGTTTGTAATTGTGATTCATTGCTAGCCCATCAGCCAATCCGCCAGGTAAAGAATTTCAGGGCTCATGATCTTATTTCTTTAGGAGTAAATATATCTTCATTTTGATCCTCAGAGTTTAATTCCCTCCGTAGATTGAAATACCTCAAAAATGCGACTCCTCTATTTCACCCTGATCTGTGGGTTAGCGATAGCAGTTGGTAAGTACAGCTTTCAACATAATTTTCTATTGCATGCAAGCTTGTCAGCTTGTCATTAATGTAATGCATGTGGAGGGATGGAGGGGTGGAGGGTGGAGGGTGGAGGGGTGGAGGGGCGGAGGGGTAAAGGAGTGGAGGGGTGGAGGAGTGGAGGGGTAGAGGGGTGGAGGGGTATTTTGCCCAGTAGTTGTTAGAATTGGAGTTTATACCAGGGATTTTATTTTGGGATCAAGATAATGACAGAATGTAATTCATCTCAATTAACACACCTTCCTGGCAACTTGTAGCCCACCAGATACCGGCATTAAAGTTTTCTTAATAGCCAGTCATTGACAATCAAAATTCTTATTTAAGCCCCACACAGCCTACCTCGATTGTACTAAAAATCCACGGGTGCTTGTTAAAGAGTAGACGTTTATTTCTGAGTATAAGACTCTTAGTTGGAGCTTGAAGGACGGGTTGGAAAGGAGGCTTAATTGGACCTTCACGCGAGGCCAGTGATTTAAGTGGTTGAGTAAATCTGCATTTAAATATACATCGACGGTTTCTGTCCATGGTTTAGGAGTCTGATGGCTCATATTGGACTTTTCTACTTGCTTTTCCAGCTCTAAGGGCATTTTAGGATTTTTTGGAACATGTAGGCAGGAAGCCAATTGTAGTATAATTCAATTCAGCTCCAGCAGCCAGCCTTCGGCATCGTCTGCCAAAGACAATCCGGACGTTTATTGATACACCAAGCTCTTCGACTGAAACGCCAGACTCATCAACTGAAACACCGAACTCGGATACAGAGACATCAGAAACACCAGAAACTCCAGACACAACAGCTGACATACCGGACACCCCAGAAACCCCCGATTCCAAAGCTGTTGTTCCTGCCTCGCCGCAAAGTAGTGATATAAGCATAGACGATGAAGAATCCGGATCTGGACATGAGGATCCTACCGCTAGTAATATTCCGGGTAGACTGGTTTTCAAAGGAGAAAACCACACTGTTTTTGCGTGATCCCTACACTCTTCATTACAGCTCCGTGACCTTCCATTCCGATTGTACCAAGAAGTGACCTTAGCAGAAGACAAAATACCTGAAATGTTTCCCTTAACGTTTTAAATACAGGAGTATTTCAGTCTTAGGGCTACCCCTTATTGTGAATACTGTATAATGTTGTTGGGGTAGGGCCTATAGACATTGCCAGTGAAGACCCTAAATGCTTTGGGTGTTCTTGCTATCAGAAATATTTCGATTTTGTAGCAGACAAAACCATCTATTTTTCAAATAAATCGTTTACTGAAGCTAAACTTGTATTTGATTTTTCTACAAGTTTTTCCATCATATAAGAATGAGTAAAATAAGAGAGAATTTTTTAAAAATGTTTATGCTGTTTGTCGTATATAAAGTGTCGTGTATAAGCGAGATTGCAAGGTTTATGGGACGGATAAGCTTTAAACCTTCGAAATTTGCTTTGGAAAATTTTCTAGTTTGCATATTTTTAAGTTTGTACCATGATTATTGTGAAGTATTTCTTGTTTTTATACAAATTATGTTACCTGTTGATTAATGCTCATTGATCAATTAAGTTCCAACAAAATTGTTGTTTGAAATCATGTATTTTCTAAATTCTTTGCATGTTTGGAACTGAAGAAACCTTTTTTTGAGAGTCAAGTCGAAGATTCTAAGTTTTCTTTGGGATGAGAAAACCTTCGCGGTATTTATTTGATGATGGCAATATAATGGCTCGTAATCGACTAGGTTGTAGATGAAGATAAAAAAGAAGTACAAAAAGTGAAAATAAACAGAACCGGATGTCTTATGAAAATTTTAAATCATAAGAATCAGTCTGTGTAACGCCAAGTTACCGACATGGTAATATTATGAACAAAGCCATTAAACCTGGCGCGGAAAATGAATGCAAATTGACAGGTCCTCGTATATTTGCTTTTTTGAAACACAAGCTTGCTGAGGGGAAATTTTTGGCTATCTGTTTAGATCACGAAAAAAAGCAAAATTGTTGAATGAATTTATTGGTAGACATAATAGAGTCAGTATTCTACCTTTTACAAGCTCATGATAGATATATTTTATTTTTTTGTCGATTATTTCAACTAAAAATTTCAATTTTAGTTTCAGGCAAAAAAAGCAAACATGTTAGACACCACGAGAAGACAGAAAGAGCCGCGAAGAAAAGTTTGTATGCCTTCCCAATCTCGCTTGGAAATTACTTTTTGAAGCAAATCGACAGTTTTGTTAAAATAGTAAAAAAGATTTGTAGCTCTAAGTGCGATTTTAGGTTTTCTATTGAAATACAGAGGAAATTCATTTGAAAATCAACAGTGGCCTGTGTAAGGGTGGGGGAGGCTCGGGCCAACCCCCCCCCCCTCACCCCACACGTAAAACTATGCAGGTCAATAACCTGTTAGTGTCAATGAAATAGGTTTTTTGCAATTGAAACAAAAAAGTTTTTTATATAAATATGATCAAAAGGGTTGCATTCTATCTTTGGAGAGCCTAAATCGCGTAGCCATGAATAATTTCTGAATCTGTAGTAGGTGACACTAGCCACTGAACCATCCTCATAAAGTTATTGATCTCAAGCTCTTTGACAACCGAAAAGATTTAAAAAAGATTTACTGTCTCTCCTTCCCGACAATAAAAGTAACACCATTTTAGCTTCTTTCAAGCTCAGACAGACCTACGTCGTATCTTCGTATAGCATCAGGGCTATTTTAAAGTTGCTATTTTTGCCTATCTTTTTTTAGAATTGACGATGTTTGTCACTTTTATAGGCTCAAAACCACAAGCTCAGAGTCCAACTGAATTAAAAAGCTCAAAGAAACAATGTAAGTCACATCACATTTTAAAAGTTTATTTTAATTCTTGTGAAGTCTTTGAAGTAGTTTTACATAATTGATTTCAAAAGTTGCTTTACTCAACCCAATACCTCTGTGTGTCTTTTGAATGGCCTGTTTCAATCCAGATCTAATTTCTTCCCTGATACAATTTTTCATAGCCCTTCATCTAGAAATTTGCTGTCCTGAAAGCCAGCCAAAGACTGTGTACAATTACCTTTCTATAAAACTTTGAAATATCAAAGGAAATCAGTCTTTTCCAACCTTGAATACAGCCAGGTCAAGATGATAGATTATTGATGATCCTTTTTGACAGTCTCTCTGTAAAACCGTTTTTGCTTTGAACGTCTTTATTTAAATCAAGATGCAAATTTGTTAGTTAAAATTGCTTCTTTTTTGTTTGCCAGTACTTGGATACCCTGAGCCCGATGGCGGACAACAAGAAGGTTAGTTTCCGCGACACAATTCTTTTTTCATTACTTTTTAAAACTCTTATTGTAATTGTACGGATTTTGTTAACGTTTATCGAAGACTTTTTGCGCTACCATTTTGCATCATGCCCTTTGCGTAACAAGTTATGAATTTCTCGAAATTTGAAATGCATTCCAAAAACGCTTTTAGAATTCTTCCTATGTAGCTCCTTTTAAAAGCAATGTTGATAATCTTTCCTTTGTTTGAAAAAACCAAGAGCCTGATTGTCAGGTTTCCTTTCTAGAATCTGTTTACCGTTTTCCCCAGCATTTCTTTGCTACATTTCTCCAGTTGACTCCCACATACCACTTTTCTACTTTTAGGGCCTAATTTCTAAAACGTTTGCTTAAATAACATCATTTAAAAATTCCTTGCAAATATGATAGCCTATAAGAATTTTGTTATTTTATTACCATATTAACAATTGATAGCGCATTTTATTGGTTTGACATTTATTTCATTCTCCTTCTGTGAAATTGCTTTCAACTATGTTTTTTTTATTCGTCTGAGACTCTTCCTGTACTTGCGAGTCTTTTGCAAATACTAATTGACAGAAACGACTGCTGGATCTACGTAAATTTGCAAATAACCAAACATGAAATTGGCAAATAACAATCCTACAATGCCTGCCAAAAGTACTTGGAACACCCACCAATTTACGCTGCATTTCATATCTTTCATTCCTTTCATGAAAAAAAATTGCTACTTCCGCCCCCTTCCCCCTAAAAAAATGTTGATAATTTAGAGAAATATCGTAAAAGAAGCGCAAAAGAAAGTGCTTCGTAAAATCCTAACCCGTTTGATAGTAAACCAACATTGTTATGTAGAGGAGAGGGGGGTGATTGATTTTGACCTTGGAAATTGATGTCAGTGTTCCAAGACTTTTGGCAGGCATTGTATTTATATACCAGAGATTGTACTTTTTTCACTTTCTTTACATTTCTTTATTTTTTTAGGCTATTCTTAGTGTCTCTTGAACGGTCACAGTAACACAATGATATTTTGGAATGAACAGCACTCCATTTTAACTATTAAAGATTTTGAAAATTTCACAGCGAAAAAGTTTCTTGTGGAAAAGTACCACATTGTTCTCTGTATAATACATAAGATACGCACATCAGACTGATCTCTTTCTCGAACTTGTGAAAACGTCCCTTTGGTGAAAACTGGCTATGTTTCTAAAAATTGATTAACTAAAAGTTATTTTGAGAGGTTTTTTAAAAACCATGTCAATTCCTGCAATATATTTTACGTTTTTAATTTCAATTTGCATATAAATTATTTTCTTATATTTTATCGTGATTTTTTTAGCAATGGGGGATTTTGGACAAGGAGGTCCCCCTGGACAAGGGCTTGGTGGGTTAGGAAGAGGAGGATTGGGGAGTGAAATCGAAGGCATGCCCGTAGGCATGGGGGCTGGTGGTGAGCCCCTTGGATATAGAGAGCGACAAGAGGGATTTCCAGGGCAAAACTTTCATATACCCGGAATTGGTAAGCGTTTTTATTATATGGGGCCTTTCACATAGTACGTTGTGTAAGAAGTAAGAGACCTCTTGTACATTTGCCTTATTAAATTCAGAGTCCAGAAAGCATTGCTGTTTCATGGCTGTGAGCCGGAGGAAGGTTATCCAACGATCCAGTATTTTGAAGAAGGTTTTTGCATAACTTGACAAGAGTACATAAAGTAAACAGAATTTAGCTACGGTTGTGTTTGTCAGGACAAAGCACAAAGACCAACCCACAGAGGGTTTTATTGAAATTCCGTTTTTGAAAAACCTGTTTTCAAAAGATACAAGGAAAATTTCGAAGAAGGCAAATACAGCAAAATTTCGTCAGGAGGAAGGTTGAGGCTTTTTCTGAATTCGGATTATATATTTTTTTTCTCGTAGCTGCACCTTCGAATTACGGGGATAATGCGGAAGTTGGTCGTAACAACGATGACGATAATGGCATGATCGGTCGATACACTGAATCAGATGATGTCGATACAATGACGCAACGTGCTATTACGAAAATAAACGGAGTTGATGACGACAGCCCAAACGGCTATAGTGAGTCAATGCTTATGTATTTCTGTTTAGTCTTCTTCCTCTGTAGGTTTCACACAGCACTGCAGTTCGATATAGCAATTTGCCATTGATGAAAGCTCTTCTCTGTCTTAAGAGGTTTTGTTGCTTAGAATGTATTTTACAAAGGATCTAGAATACAAACTCATCGATAAGCTTAAGTAAGAGTATCCAGTTTCCAGTTTTAGAAGGCAAACGTCTCTTGTTTAAACATAAACTATACAAACCATAGTTGAAGTAATTATGAAGAGAAATAAATATCCCATCGGACACGAAGGGATATACCTTGTTAGAAAAGTGAACACCCTCCCTTTCGTCAGAGCCTCCTTCTCCTAGTATGAGCATTCCCTCTCTTCGTAAGAGCCCCCCATCCCCTAGTAAGAGCATTCCTCCCTCGGGTTAGTGCCTTGTGCTTACCTCTCGTGAGAGCCCCCCCCCCCCTTTCCCTTCTTCTTGGTAAACATCGTCAAAGGAGTCTTTTTCAACCCTCTACCCAAACGCACTAAGATTTTCTGCTTTTGAAAGTATTTTTGCAACATACTATAAAAACAACAAGCCCCTAAGGGGCAACTGCCCCTCCAGCCCCATCGACTTTCCATTCTTTTAAACAGTAGACTATTGTCCTTCACTTTATGTAAACAAAGGCTTGCCCCCACAGCTTATAACTCCTTAGGGGCTAATTATGAAATGACCTGGTATATTTTTTTGTGGTATAGGTAAGGAATCCATGTACTCAAACGTAGAGCCAGATATGTCCGTCACAAAAGCCATTGGGCGCCCGTTTCAGCCGGACGGCGAGCCAGCTGGAGGAAATATGGATGAGCGTGAAGACAGTCCTTTCCAAGCTGTTAGACAAGAAAGTCCGTTCCAGATCCCCATGAACAGCATTGCTGCACAAGCCTCGTATGCGCAATCACAGATGTCTCGGTTTCGTCCGGAATCTGCTGGTCCATTTGGTCCGCAGCAAGAAGAATCTCCATTTCAGCCACAACCAGGAGAGGGGCCTGAAGAGGGTAAGAGTCAACTACATCATTAAAGACTAATGATTAGAACATAAATTGAAATGCTATGAACATTCTAATATCAACGCTCCTTAACATTTTAATAGAAGTAGGTACACCACAATAAAGCAGGAGTAGATATCTTTGCGAATAATTCACCTGAGGCTACTAGGCCTAATATCCATTGACTTAGTTGTTATTCAAGTGATGCCATTGCTAAGCCCTCGTTGTTTGAAATCAATCCAGATTTTTTCGATACAAGGATTCAAAGGGCAGGTTCGCCTGCTGGCCTGAAGCTGGGCCTTAAGTTTGAGGGTAATGTTGGTGAAACCTCTCTTGATAAACTTCAAAAGTTACAAAACCATGCAGCCAGAACAGTTACAGGATGTCGATATGATAAATCAACCTTGCCAATTATGCATGCTCTTCGATGGCCCACAATCAGGGAGTTACTTGATCTTGAAACCCTCATGTTGGTTCTCAAATCCCTGAATGGCGAGGGGCCATCCTATGTGAGTGACATGTTCACTAGGGTTAACGAACCAACTTCTAATACTAACTTAAAACTCCAGAATTAAGGACGTCAGTTGGTCAGAGATCTCAGGTTTTCTCATTCAGAGTGGCAAGTTTCTGGAAGGGGTTGAATGATAAAGCAAAAAGTCAACCAACTCTAAAAAAATGTTTTTATTTCTTTTAATGTACTTTTTGTACAATATTGAATTTATTATATCTATAACTTATATGGTATTTAAATGTATGGCCCCTTGTAAATCAGGTTTTCTCTAACTGAGGAGCTACCACGCTTAAAAAATTGAAATGAATGAGAATGAAAATGAATGAAAGGATAAGGTTAGTCTAACGTTGCTTCAATGCATATTGAATAACAGTGGTGCAGCGTGTGATCCTTGTGTGACTCTCGATAAAAACGGATCCTTTACTGGCTAAATTGTTTCTTCGATATGTAGCCAGTTTACAACGGACATCTTATGTCAGTGGCGTAAATAGAGGGGGGTCAGAGGGGGCAAAAGACCCCCCTGTAAAGCTAAACTGCTAGTTTGTCGGAAAACATCTGATAATGTCAGAATTATAACATGGTTTACTATTTTTATCTAAATGTTAAATTTTGAGAAGGGAAGATTTTAAACCTCTATAACAGACGAATATATGAAAATATCTGAATGAAAACTTTTTATTTCAGTTCTGAACTGATGTCGTTATGTTATGTTCAGATTTATGTCAAAGTAAAGTGTCAAAGTATAGTAATATTTATTGCCCCTCCTATGAATTTTCCTATCTACGCCACTGCCTTACGTAATTAGCATATATTAGCATATTTAGCAAAAATAGCATATAGATCTTCTTATCATTCGCAATTAATTTATCCCATACAATCAACAAGAGCAAGACATATCAACGGAGTCTGCTTTCTGTTGATTTGCCAACAGGGCGATATGCTTCAATAGGCCCTCGGTCGGGTATTAAAAATCTCGCCATGAAATGATTTAAAACGAAGTTCTGAATGCCAGGATAATATATAAGTTAATTCAATTTCCATTTTGCATTAAATTGATAAGCTTTTTCGCCAGAATGGGTGATTTTTCGTTGCTTTCGTTCGTTTCTGCCCGAACTTGTTCTGTTGGAGTGGAGATCCTTCTGTAGTTGAAAATCAGTTGCAAAGTGTATTATATATGCCAGAAAAGCTGACCATCAAATCTGTTGTGCATTACTTCTTAGATATTGCTAATAGTGAAGATCATCAAGTCTTTCAAAGTAGATACTTGTTCGGGATGAGAACATTTTTTTGAAAGTTCGTATTTGTCGATAAAACAGCACCGATAAAAAAGATCTGCAAAGTTTTTGTAAAAGCCTAGTTAGGTTTGTATTCCACCAGCAAGTTTCACCTGACACAGAAGTTTGGTCCCTTGTCGCTTTGTTCGGACTATAGTTAGAACAACCAGCCTTGTTTTTGTCGAAATAAGCCCCTTATTAGAGAAGTGAGTTTCTTATTAGAGAAGTAAACCCCTTTGCCAAGTTTTATTCTATAAATATAACTTGTTTAATTTTTAGAAAACGATATTCCTGAAGGCGGGCCATTCCGTGCAACTTCTATGAATGGAGCTGAGGCCATGTTAGGTATGAGCGAACAAGAGGGCATGAAAAGACACTTTAAGAAAAAAGCTGGAAGGAAAGCGTTGCTGGCATCCATCAAACGCAAAAGGACATCAAAACAAGGCAAATCTCAGCTGAAAAAGAGATCAAGATAAACCTAACTACCGTACTGATAAACTTTTGAAAATTTGGTGTTGTAAATAGGTCGCGAAGTGGCTACATCTCTTCGCTTTCTACCCACTTCTGGACTAGACTCTTTCTTTAATGCTCTTCTTGTCAACGACCTTCGTTGTTATCACCTAAATCAGCGAGCTTTAAGCTTGTCACTGTCTGCACCTGAAAAGTGTACAGCTTTCAAAAAAGCAATTGTGCCTATCGAATAGATTACTACACCCATAGACGGGGGTTTAAGATTCATGCATATTCAAAGAGCTTTGTCATATGTCTCCCTGAGCCCAGAACGCCGCTATTTCTCAGAAAAAGTCACTGCTGTCTCAACTAATCGTTATCCTTAATTTGTAACATGTTCATATAAAATGTCAAATTTTGTCTGTCCAAGTTCAGCGAGTTGTTTCTGGAAGTCGGATCTTCTTGGATTCAGTTTCTCATTTGACGGGGTTCACCCCTTAGTACTTTCTGTACAAGTTTATGTTCTGTACAAGTGGATTCACCTCAGGAACCCACTCATCCAAAAGTGTACAACCGCTACGAGGTAGAGGGGAGTTTTAGGGGGTGCGTACAACCTTCAATTCACAAACAGGGCTAAATTCAAAAATATATTTTAAGCGGACATATCAACCTTCAATTGCACAGCTTCCTGTATTCTTTGCTTTAAGAATAAAGGGTGTTCAGTACTCTTGTGCACTTGATGAGGGTATCATGATGTAAAGGTCTGTACAGGGAAAGAAGAGGGTGGCTAAGAAAACCTTAATTGATGCCCCCATGCATTGACGGGCAGGTAAAAGACCCACTTTTAAAAAATACGGAGTGTGCGTTCTAATGAGATTTAAGGTTAAAAGTCATAAATTTCAAAGTATATTTGCAAATTCATCCCAAAAATTTGTATTTCATTTGAAAGCAACTTTCAAACTGCCTTCATTTTACAGCCATTTATGCAGAAGTACTTTTTAATTTGAGTCTGTGGTAATTTCCCTCAAGAGTATTTGAAACTGTACCCCTTCCATTTGAAATCTCGGCGTTTAATTCATTGCCACAAGATTCTGGTTCATTTTATTCGTAATTTAAATATTGCTTCTCTAGGCCGAAGGTCAATGAAATTAATGACTCAGTATTGTGATTCGGACAACCAATGGCTAGTCGATTGGGCAAACTTTACAAAGATTTTTATGTTTCTTTTCAATATGCGTTAAATCAAGCTTCTGATTCTTATAATTTCTTAAAAGTCCTCTAAAAGTTTTTTACAATCGTACCGCAAGACTTGTATGCAAACGAACGAAAACAAATTCCTTCCCAATTAGCCTTCTAGGGTTGTTTTGGATTATATATCTTATCAGCTTTTCCCATGTTTGTTAGTTGCTGCACTGAAGACTGAAAGGCAGCACTCGATTTCTAAAAGAATTATTTATATTTTTAACTAAAAAGAAACAGTTACATGCTTTGGAAAAATAAATATTTTAGGATCAAAATGAATTTTCGCAATAAACATTGAAACATGGTATGCTTCAGTGACACGACGGCTCTAGAAAAAGAATATAGATGAAGGAAAATTTCCTGTTGGTTTCTTGTCGTATAAAATGTGTTGTATTAGTCAGTTTGCTAGACATTGCCGCTCATGATGTAAGAAGAGCAATTTTGCAATTGATGATTAGGAAAATGTGCAGAAAGAGTCGAAATTTTACAGGAATCTTTTCCGATTCGAGGAAAAGTTACGAGCCTCCTTATCGAGTCACTTCCTCGTATTGAAACGGGTTCGGTTCCCGTGGAGATTCCTGTACATCTCCGCCACAAAGATACCCACCTGCAAAACGCCTCAGAATTCATATGCAGATATGTCAACGAATCAAATAGAGTGCAAAGAATGTCATTCAAGCACGTAAAGATGCTCTTGCGATAATGTAAAACTGCTTAGGAGTCTGCAGGCCAAAGGACAACAAAGGAAGGTTTAGGCCACCACACTGATCATCACAACCAGTTGCTTACTTGGCCTCGGACAAGAATGGACGATACAATTGAGGCCGCATTGAATAGTGTTCTTGAGCACGATGAGGAAAGTTTTGAAGAACTATGTCAGAATTTATCCGTGCTGTCCCCGCGGGAAATGAATTTCTCTAATGGTAAGGACGAATTTCTCTGTCATTGTTCGTTGATCAATTTGGTTCCCCATTCCTGCCATTCCTCATTCCCCATTCCCCTTTCCATACCTGCCATTCCCCATTCCCAAAATTTTCCCTGTTGCTTAACACAATGCATGCTTCAAATACATAGTTGATTAATAAAGATACATCTAAGTGAAAGTACAAATTTTTCTATTATTTTTAAAGTACAAATTGTTTAACTATTAGTAAACGTACTGATGAGACACTTTCAAACTTTTCAGGTACTTTTGATATAAAGCCACAACAGAATGGTTTTCATGAACATGGTGAAAGAGAGATGCAAAGCAGGCCAGCAAGATTCACAGATCTACTGAATGTAGATGATGAAGGCCTAGAAGACATATCAACTGAAGTATGCATTGTAATTCTAATTTCTTTCTTTCAGGGATGCCAGAGCAAATTTTGGAATGGGTGGGGGGTTCTACACAAATTGGTAAACAACTATGGTAGTTTGCCATCATTATATTAAATGCCACAACCTCAATATCATATATCTGCCAAAAAGTGAAGGGTCTACAGCCCCCACCAACCCCCCCCCTTATGGTAGGTTTCTCCAAGTTGCAGTGTTGAAGACAGGCAATGGATATGATTGTTATTGCATATTTTGTGTTGTTTTCTTGAATTGCACCTAAAACAGTATTAGAGATAAGAAAATAGCTTCCAGTATCAGTTGATTGGTAGCAGATAATTTCATATAGGTAATTGTCCCAGAACAGTGGTTGAGTTGTTGAAAAGTTTTTGTTGCTGGTTGGCTTAGAATAATTTTTCATAGTGAATATAAATTATGACCTGGAGAGATATTGAAACTCACAAGCACCCTTTCTATGACTGATAACACTATTTACAGTGTTTACGATAGAATAATATCTGACAGGTTGTTGTGTCTCTGTGCCAATCAAATCTTTGTCCCCAATCTCAGTGATATACACATTACTCAAAAGACTGAAGACAAGTTAATGTTTTTTTGTCAGGAGCTAGCTGTTGGTTTGTGTGTTGAATCTCAAATGGCATATGCCTTGGATAATAGGGCTTTTGTTCCTAAGGTATGAAATTTATCAAAGTTTTTTCAGTTTTGTGGCCTTTGTTTTTTCCACTTCAAATGACTACAGACTAGGTAAATGAAAAGAATCTTTACAAGCCTTATAAGGCTATGCGTTGTATATTACAGTTTTAATATAGCACTCATCTTCTTTAGTATACAATTAGAATTGAATTGAATATGCAATTGCTGAGATTGTCAGGCAATTAATTTGGTATAGAATTTTGAGGAAGAGATCTTTTTTCTCAATAGTTTTGAATTGCAATTGTGGAAGGAAACATGTATTCTAGAAAACATATAGCAGCGTCAAATCTCCAAGACAATTTTCATCAGTAATTTTTTTTCAGGTTGGGAATTTTGTAGATGATAATGATGACGATGATGATGATGATGATGATGATGATGATGATAGTAGTGAAACAAGTGATCTTAGTGAACTTAGTGAATTAGAGGACATAAACAAGCAAAAGGAAGAAGGAAAAAAGGAAATTCATCACAGTGAGGCGAATATGACAGGTATTGAACAATCTGCTAAAGTCTGAGTCATAACAATAAAACTAAGGAATAAATGTCTTTATACCTCTGCACCATTTTTACAGAGCTCTTTTATGTCTACCCGAACATGACCTAGTTAAGCTTGATGTTCCAGGGCTCGATGCTCTTGTATTGCAACCAAGTTTCAGTGGGGCTCATGCCCCAATGACCTTCGGTCATTCCCAGGAGATAATTGAACTGTCTAGCTAAAGCCAAACCATGAGGCATCCCATAGGCCCATCCTACAATCAAGGGTCGTCCACCATGATGCCTATACAACACCAACCAGATATACCTAGACCTAGACCATATGATGCGGATGTCATGCAACCTACTGATCATTATAACCAGCCTTTGGGCAATTACTCACCAATGCACACCCCATTCCACATGCATTCTTCCTACTCCTACCATGGTTATAAGGACCAGTAACCGTTTTTCGCATTTGAAAAGTTCAAAATCATTTCACAATCAAATCCCAATTGAATGGGCACCCCATTTTGAAGCTCACCCCATTTGTACTAGCTTAGAGATTGCTTTTAATAATGAGCAGCTTGCTTTTCTCAGTCTAAAATGTATTGACTGTATTTGTTTTGATTTACCAACATAGTTTTGATTTAAAAGGAAGATGTATATTTTGTGAAACAAGAATTTCAACAGGACATGCCAAAATAGAGATAGCAAATATCAATAAAACCTTTTTTTAACTTTTTAAGACATTTTTAACTTCCCTGTCTTTTAAGTACATTTGTTTTGAAATTAATTTGATTTCAAACCAAACAAAGTATAGTATTGAACATGGTTTGTCTTGTCACAATTTTTATCAAATACTTATGTAATTTGCAACTACATGCTGACTGGACTTGTCACATGTTTATAAAACTGAGTCTCTTTTATTTCTAAAGGTAAACAGAGCAGCGAAGAGAAAATAGCCTTAAAAGCTAAAACTAACATTCCAACAAACACAGATTTTGACACCATGAACACTGAAACTGAAAGTTCTGGCTCAAAAGAAATAGATACATCGTCACAAAACAGTCCTTTTAAAGGTATTTTACATAAGTTGTTATTTAAGTGCAGAAGTAGAAATATGATTGGTCAAATTGGCTGTCATTATATATGGTGCGTTTCAATTTGTCTTTTTCTATTAACTCCTTGAATAGCTGAATTTTAGCAGTTGAGCGACCTATAGATCTCTTTGGATGAGCCAGATCGAAGATTTTTAACCTGACTTTGCTGTCATTCGATTTTAGTCATGGTGCTGAACAAAATCGCAGAACAGGATAAGCTACCAGGCGAAGCCACTGAAGACGTAGATTCTGCCGGTATGCCACTTCTTGTATCTATCGTCTTAGGGTATTTGCACTTACTTGGTCGTTGCTCCCGAGTTTCTTAAAGATGAAATGCTGGTGTTACTCATTATAACTCGATCTGCCCCAAGACTTTGAATCGTCCGACCTGGGGGTACCAGGGGCATATGTCCCCAGCTTTCAAAACATGCTCCTTTTCCCGGAAGTGCCCTCTTCAGAAATTTTCGAAAAGTGTTCCTTTTTCTGGATATTAGTTTTCTTTCCTACCTGTGCCTCCAAACATGAAAAGCTTCTGTGCCATCTCGGCAAGACAAAACTAGGTGTAGGGACATCAGAACTTCTGATGCCCCTGTACCTAATTTTGGCTTCTCAAACTGCCATCTTTTGTTTATGAGGTTCAGTTGCTAGGAATGTAGGTTGTACGAGGAAGTGGAGAGATTTATCAGTATTTGCAATAAAACCAAGGAAGAGTGAATAGTTTTCCCCTTAAATTAACACAAAAAGCCATTAGGCGAGTTCAGAAAGTAATGTTTTCTTCTTAAAGGTATGCAGTTTTTTGTGAAATATGCCTCGTACTCAGATTAATCAAATGCAACTTAACTCCCCTGTTTTCGACATTTTAAAGCGTCTCAAGTAGGTGAAAAGTTCTTATAACTGTGAATATAATGTTCTTTTAGGCTTCGATATCAGACCTCAGATAACCAATATTGAGATAAAGACGACATCGAAAAGCAAATCACCACCAGAATCGCCTTCATCAGTGAGTAATACTTGCAACGCATGACGTCTAGATCTTGAGCAAATCTCTCAATATATTGATTCCCTTTAAAGTAAAAATCGATTGAACTATTATTATCTAATCGTTTCTCATTGGTTTCTAGCTTTTACCCTTGTCATGGAATATTCCCATGGAAATTTGAGTTTCATAAGAATAGTGGCTCCCCCTCCCCTCTATAACATGTTACTTTAACATTTATTAAAAAATTTGCACGCTTTGGATAACTTAAAAGTTTTATCCCACGCAATCGGCCTTTTTGTATGCAATCCTACATTTTAGATTTTTTTTGCATCGTGCTATCTCTTCCCATCGTTCTACCTTCTCCCTCACATCCTCCTACATTCCCCCTAATATCGCTCTATCTCCCCATCACATCGTGCTATCTCCACCTCACATCGTGCTATCTCCACCTCACATCGTGCTATCTCCCCCTCACATCGCGCTATCTCCCCCTCACATCGCGCTACCTTCCCTCTCCCATCGCGCTACCTTCCCCCTCACATCTCCCTACATTCTCCCTCATATCGCTCTATCTCCCCCTCACATCGTGCTATCTCCCCCTCACATCGCGCTACCTTCTCCCTCACATCGTGCTACATTCCTCATATCATATTGACTCCACCAATGTCATCTTCCCTGATTTTCTATGTCTTTTGTCAGATGTCTGAAAGAAAGGTGACTATACCCAAATATCTTTGAAAATAGTTTGTTAATCAGGTCACATCCTGTTTCATATTCCTCGTAGAAAGAAAGGAGTTGAGTTACTGTCTGAATACCCTCCCCAAAATGATAGGCGAAATCGCCGAAAACTCATCTTCCCCGATGATCAAACCTTCCATTTAATAAAGAAGTTCCACCTTCTTGCTGTCATGTCATACCATCTATGTTTTCGACAAATGAGCATATTATTTTTAAGAGCGAAGCCTTCCAGTTGGAAAGAAAACGATCCAGTGAACCTGACGTGTGTTCAGATGATATTGAAGAATTCAAGTTGGATGAGAATTTTGACTATGATAATGTCGACCTAACCCCACATGATTGGTTCTATAGAGAAGAATCACAAAGTTGAGATTACGCTAATGGAAACTTCGAAGGAGTCGTTTTGTCATTTCAGATGCATAATTGGATATCTGCTGATCTGCCTGGCACTTACATTGCTAACATGGTTTAGCGCCACCTTAAAATGCATTCACGTAAAAATGCTGAGAGATATGTTGTATGGAGAGAAATACCGTGATCTTAAAAAGAGAATTGTTTGAGTCCGAAACTGTAAACAAAGTCGCAAAAACAGCATCTATTTGAGAGATTCAAGATCTACTTCCAACCAAAAGAAATGAACCATTGGATCAACCATCAGCAATATTGAAGCTGTCATAAAGCTGTAACTGTCGTAAAGGAAGAAACATGGGAATTATTATTATTATTTATTTATTTAAAGTAGGCGTATAAAAATAGCTACACAATAAAAGCTAATTCAAGCCTACTACAAAGTAAAATTATTTAAAGACAAAAAATAAAAATACATGTATATCTAACATAAGATATAATTCAGTATAAATATGAACAATTTTTTTTTTGCGGTACAGAATTTGAAAATGGCTTTGAGAAAAGCAAACATTTTACAACATACTTAAAGCTTTTTCGTCTGACACTCCTCAGAGCATAAAACGTCAGAATAGGTTCCGAAAAACATGCACGCTGAACTGGAAAAACTCAAAACGATCTTCTTGGACAACGGCTATCCTGAAGACGTCATTTTATCTTATACTAAGGAGAAGATCGCAAGTTTTTCGGCTGTTCAAAAGTTTGGTCCGCAAAAGTGCCCAGTTTATTTGAAACTACCATGGATTGGTAACACTTCCTTGCGATTCGAGAGTCAGATTAGGCAAGCCATAACCAATTGTTTCTTTGCTGTCAATCCTCGGATTGTTTACAGCACTAGGAGAGCCCTTCCATCCATTCAAAAGGATTGCGTCCCTACCAAACAAAAAAGTTCCGTCATTTATGAATTTACGTGCCAGTGTGATTCTGGCTACGTAGGGCGCACAACCCAAAGATTGGGGGATAGGATAAAACAGCATGTTCCTTCCAACATACGTAACAAAACTGCCCCTCAAAGAGAACAGCCTCCTCGATCTTGTAGGTCTAGAAACACTGTTAAAACAAGTGATTCTGCCATTGGTCAACATCTTTTAGACAACCCAGATTGTGCAAAACTCTATAATGACGACATGTTTCGGATAATTGGCAGAGCCCGGTCGTCCTTCCATCTAGCAGTTTTGGATTCAATCTACATAAAAACGAAAAAGCCGCCATTGTGTAGACAAAAGGAGTTCGTTTTCTCTCTTGGACTCCATTGGTAATTTTTCTTTAGGCTCGCGGCACTGATTGGTCAACTATACCGGTCTTGTGCTTGCGTTTTTCTGATTGGCCTATTTCGATCCACAACTGGGTATATATTTTTCAAACATGTTTTTCGGAACCTATTCTGACGTTTTATGCTCTGAGGAGTGTCAGACGAAAAAGCTTTAAGTATGTTGTAAAATGTTTGCTTTTTTCAAAGCCATTTTCAGTATAAATACATATATACATATTCTACAATGTTTTTACAGCATTTTGGCATTTACAATACAACACAGTCTACAGTTACATTCCTCTCCTTTCCAAGATTTTATTCTGCTTTTAAAGCTGGCGAGGGTATCTGATTGTTTCAGAGGAGGGAAAGAGAAATTCACTCCCTGTAAAATAACTAAAGTAGAATATGACAATTATAGAACTGTGTCCTTTGCAAATTTGGACAATGTATTATAGTATGGTCTAATGGGGTAAGTCTTTCATAATTATCTGGAGGTCAGCTTGTTGTCAAAGTTTTTAGCTCTCAGTTGCATTTTGTCGATAAATTAATCTCCAACCTCTGTATGTTTTAATTTGTTCTTCGCAGAGAGGAAATGCTTTCATTGGTAAGTTCCTCGCAGTAATCCCTTCAAAATTACCTTGCTATAATAAGGTGTAAAGACGACTCAGTGGTAACGATCCCGAGCTAAAGATCGAGGGTCTGTGGTTGAGTCCCTTTACACAACCAACACCTCACTTAGAGTGGGGTGAGTAGCAAGCTCTTTGTGATTGTAGGTGCAAGAATAACGGAACCTCAATCTAGTCTTTATTCATCATACAACGAATTCCTTTAATTTTCTATCTACTTAGACTAATATATTACGTGACAGAATTTCAGTTTCTTGGTGATCACAATAAGCGTGAAACTCGGAGTAGTAACATACAACTGTCCTGTTCTACACACGAAAAGCGTTAGATATGTAAAGATATGATCAATTTCGGTTCAGTTTAAATGTTTGATTAGCGTTATCAACGAAATGGTGGCTGTAAACATTTAGTGCAATGATTAGGGCTAGGAATTGCATTAGATCTTTGCCAAAAGCAACATCCAGCCCCTTATATATAGCCAGAAGTCTTGTTGAAAAATATTGGGCCTTAATGAAAAATATGGCGACGATGATCTTTGGTGACGCAGAGTGCAAAATTGTGAGAGAGGCTTCAACCAGATTCGTTTCTGCAAAGAGACCGTACCTGCTTGCTACGTATCAGTTTTGCGCATGCCTAGAGCAGAGATATTTTTCCACCAACCTGCAAAATGTGAGGATAAATAAAGGGTAGATTTCATAGAAGACCTTTTGTGTCGGTTCGTATGTCGTAATCATGGATAACATGCTATTTAATCTTTCTGCTTGCAAACAACCAATTTTTGTTATCGATGCCTCGTAATTTTCTGCTCGCTAATTCTGGGTGCTATTGTTCCAGATATCTCGGTTCAGTTAGCGCAGGTCAGGCGTAACTTTTGTGCAGCCATTTGTCGTAAGTGCGTGTTGGTGAATCGTAACCCGCGGGATGCAGCGACGCTACTACATCAAGCTGACAACAAACCCAGGGAATTTCATCGCAACCTGCTGTAATTACTGCTTGGTCGGTGATCCATTAACCATTACAGAAAGGAAGGACGTCTGGGGGCCTAAACACCTAGAAGAACTTTGTATGGTTTCAGCGCGAAAATAGACAGAAGTTAATTCGAAATGAAATTCATAGTGGCCACAACCCTGCTTTTGCTTGTGTCTGTCTTGCATTACGGTAAGTCGAACTTTTCCTTTGCTATTTTTTATAGTAAGTTAGACAAGGTCTGTTCGTAAGTGATTTGCGTAACGCGATCTCGTAATTTTCATATTTCAGTTTCAGTTGCTGCAATTTCTTCGAAAAATTAGTTGCGATTTTATTTTCGAAGATGCCCGATGCAGCACCGTCGTAAACAATATTTGCTTCGTTTTAATAGATTAACCTGGATGCAGTCATTTATTGATCTTAATGTCTAGGCCCTTTGACCTTTTGATCACCCTCTAGACGTCAATACAAGATGCTGTCGAAAATTTATATCGTGAGAAAATTGCAGGCTAATTTTACGAGAAAATAAGAATCGATCAGTCAATATATATTTATTTTTCTTACTTAAAAAATGAAATGAAATGAGTTCATGAAAGGTAGAGAGGTTTTCCCAAAGTTCCTAAATGTCTTGAAGAAATCATCTATCACAGCCGTTTCCAATTAAACTGCAGATTTTTTGTACCTTGTAATTGCCACATCTAGGAATTGATTAGAATTGCAGGGGGGTGTGGATTGAGGGCTTGCTTTTGAGAAACCGTATGTTTATTTCGAGAAATGAAAGTTATTTATGTCCAGAATGAAGTATGTTTCAATGTTTTGATTTCTAAGATGTTTTGAGCACGATACTGTTGATAAATGTGACAAAAAGCTATTGCATTTGAAGAATAAACGCTTTTCAGTGAGCCAAAAAGCTCCTATAAAACATGAAACTATGAAGTGAAATGGCATATGGTTTTCAATAGTCGATAAAGTAAGTAACGTTCTCGTTCCGCTAAAATAGAAATTGAAAAAATAATCAAATTATCAATGTAACTTTGCCTTTTTTAACAACAGAAAATCCTTTTGTTGAATGCAAATTTTTCACTTTATCTTAAACTTAATTACATCATTTTGTACTACCAATTTATTCATTTCAGCTTTTGGACAACAACTTGCCCCTGGGCAGTTGAAACAGAAGGTTGATGAAATTGCGAAGGCGTACGCTGAAGGATACAAAGGTTAGCGACGAGTGGATTTTTATTTCATTATTTAACGCATCTATGGCATATTTTTCTTACTTCATTAACTCTATCAATCTTATTTCTCTCTCATTGAATCTCCATGCAGCTAAGATTTCAGCTTCAAGCCCGATTACTTGGCATATTGAAACATTATTGTAAAACAAAGGTGCACTATTGCATGGTCTCGATAGACTTGCTTAGAGTACCGTACAACCGTTCTCGACTCCCTTCTGATTGCCTCTTCGATGTTTTTATGCAATTTCCTTAAATTCAAAAAGACTGTTCCTTCAACTTTCCTTACCTAGTCCCTATTATAATGCCATCTCTCGACAATTTCTATATTTTCGAAAACTTTTTCTAAGATATTCTAAGATCTATCAATCCTTGTAAAAGCAAAGAAAACAGCCTCTCATCCAGCTACTCACTTTTCTTTTGTTTATCGTACGAGGCTCTAGCACCCAGGGTAAACGACTCTGCCCTGTACGCTTGCGTCGGCCAAGGATTAGTCAATTCGACATAAGAGCTGGATTGCTCGAATCTCTCTTGGTCTTTAGGAAAAAAGATATTCAGCATAGTTATATGTAAATGCTATTATTCTTTCTCGTGTACAAACAGCACTGATCTTTAGGCATTATCTGTAAAGCGCTGCACCAAGAGTCACAAACCCTAAACTCATGCTAGAAAGTAATTATATTCTTCTCCTGGATGCATCATATACAAGCCTCATTTTTACAAAGTACCGTAATGGCTCCATTAAGCCCCCCTCTCTATAAAGCCCCCCCTTACAAAGCCAAAATTTAAAATAAACCCCCCTTTCTATCAAGCCCCCCTCTCTAGCCCCTGATGTCAAACAAAGATGCATTTAATGGGCTGATGATGATGATGATGATGATAGTATCATGTGCGTTAAATACGGCCCATGTAAAGATTTCCTTGTGCCCCTAAGAAGTCAAGAGGATACTGATGCTGATTCTTTCCAGTGGCGGAAATTGCGGGGGTGTTGGGGGGGGGGCAACCGCCCCCTAGGTTTTGCCAAGTTGTCGGTTTTGTCGGCAAAATTATGTCATTTGTCGACAAATTTGCTTTTTGTAGACATTGCCCCCTCATTGTGGAATTCTATAATATGATTCATGTTGAATAATTAATAAGCCCCCTCTCTAATAAGCCCCCCTCTTTTAAGTCCCCCCTAGGACTGAAGAAAGAAAGTAACTCCCCTTCGAAGCTTAATAGAGCTTTTACGGTATATCAATTTGAAAGTTTGAAAAACATATTGAAGATACGCAAGTCACGATGTACTTACTGATCCTACTGATTAAACCCATTTTTGTACGATACATTCTCTGTTGTTTCCCTTCTGTTATTTCACTTTCAGCTTTCCTACCATTCTCACTTTCAGCAGTCTCTAACCTATATAGTTAAAACCGTTATTACAAATCATTTTAACTTTCATTGCTGCCATTTTCTTTCTAGCTGCTATAAATGCAATCCGGTCCCGGAATATGATACCGCGCACGCCAATAGTCGCAAACATCAAACCAAAAATGTCACCACGCTCTTTTATTCCGAAGCCGGTCGCTCAACAAGTCGTGAGGAATTTCCCATCAGCTAATGGAAATGGTTTCTTTATCCCTGCAAGACAAATAACAGTCAATGGAGTTGAGAAATCAGGAATCCCCCGACCACCTTTCCGAGCTCAGTACTCTCCGGAACAGAAAAACACCATGAGACAACCCGGTAAGTGTATTTTCCCGACCATCAGTGATACCGTTGCGTTGTAATTGTATATTTTTCGAGGAGGTCTGCAGTCTGCAAAGAGAAAATAACCTCGTTTGTTATCAAAAGAAGAAGGCCTTCATTAAATACATGCTGAAGTATTTACAGTTGAATTCCAGGATTATAGTTGAAGTCGGAAATTCAAAGAGGGGGTAAGGGGGTAAGGAAATGTCTTGACTAAGGGTATATCCGACTCATCTGATGTACGACTTTTAGATTGAATAAGTAAAGAAAATCCAATGAGAAATGAAAATCGGTCCGACTTGCTTAAGGTCCATTTGTCCGTGGTATGACTAAGTTGGGTTGATAGCTATTTTACCCAGATTTATAGAGAAATTTTATCTTTAAACCCCCTTCCCCGCCCTTTGGCTGTATTGCTCGTTTTCGAAATTCATTTCTTTTGACTGTATTTGAAACTTTGTACTCACATAAGTTCTTTGGGTCTTCATGAAGTTCACTGGTAATGGCAAATTCTACATTTATTTGCTGTTTGCATCCTTCTAGGCTGGTGCTATAGTTCGGCTCTTATATTTGCTTGTAAATTATACGGTCGTTTCGTATTCTTTAGGTCATACCGTCGTTGAAAGATCTGCAGCTCCTCCTCCGTTGCTTGGAAAGTTCATGCAGCAACAGCAAGGCAGGTCACTGGCACAGCAGTTTCAAAAGAAGTCAGAGGTCCCAGCAAATAACGGTAACATGCTTGAAATTTTCGCTTTTTTCAGGCAACTTTATTAAATTATAAATTTTTTGTTTCAGCCTTAGAGTTTTTAGAATCATACCTCTCTTTTGCCTCGTTATTAAACATCAATTTCTAGCTTTGATGTATTCAATTTTGGTACTAAACCTTTTTCGTACTTTATTATCTTTATTCGGAAGAAGCTCCACACGCAACATTAAATACAGTCGATTATACCAATTTATTTTAAGAAGTCCAATAGTTTTTTATAGCATTAATTGTAGTTTTAGCATGTTATTGATCCCTCGATCATAGTCTGAGACAGTTTTTTGTACCAAAAAATAAGTTTTCTAGCAAAATTTGATCAAGTCAAACGAAGTTTTAAAATTGATAAAAAATATGGCTATGTTAATAACATTGAAAAAATGAAATTGATAAAATTGATGATATGGTTATGTTGCAAGGTACATATTTTGATCGACGCTGTGTATGCAACTATAACTTGTTAATACTAAAGCAAATATTCTAGCAAAAAATCAGCCAGACGAGGCAAAAGCAGAGGAAATGGGTGAGTGAAAACTTCATTATTATCTTTCAGTAGATATGTATAAGGATGAGTTTAAGAACAAACATGTTTCTTCTGCACTTCATAAAATTTTGTTTTGAAGTTTTCATGATCATAGATAATAGGCAATGCAGTTAGATTTTATATAGACCTAGCGACTGGACAAGAATTGTTACTTTTAATAGATTTCACTGCATCAGTGGACTGACTAATTAGCCTACATGTGAACTATAGTTAGATCCGCTTCTAAATCCTAAAAGAAGGAAAATCTTTCTCGAGGAGGGGTCTATTTTGTGAAATAATATCAATCTATTTCAGAGTTTATGAAAATTACAGTTTGCCGGTTTATTCATAAAGTGCTAGATGCCGTATAGAGCTGTACACGCTGTTTGGTATATAGAACCATAGTCAATAGAAAAACTTTTGACTATGATAGAACAAGACGGTTCTAAGTTCAGAGTTTAAATAATCAAAGACCCTTAATCTACCTTTGGCCGATAAGAAAAGTTAACTCGTCCGCCATTGGCTGTTATTGAAGCGTAATTAATTCTATAATGTGTTTTTAAATTTTTGTAGAAAATGCAAAAGTAGAAAATGCCAAAAGTAGAAAAAGCAAAAAAAGTAGAAAAAGTAAAAAGCAGAAAATGCCAAAAGTAGAAAATGCAAAAAGTAGAAAATGCCAAAAGTAGAAAAAGCAAAAAGTAGAAAATGCCAAAAGTAGAAAATGCAAAAGTAGAAAATGCCAAAAGTAGAAAAAGCAAAAAGTAGAAAATGCAAAAAGTAGAAAATGCAAAAGTAGAAAATGCCAAAAGTAGAAAAAGCAAAAAGTAGAAATTGCCAAAAGTAGAAAAAGCAAAAAGCAGAAAATGCCAAAAGTAGAAAAAGCAAAAAGTAGAAAATGCCAAAAGTAGAAAATGCAAAAAGTAGAAAATGCCAAAAGTAGAAAATGTCAAAAGTAGAAAAAACAAAAAGCAGAAAATGCCAAAAGTAGAAAAAGCAAAAAGTAGAAAAAGCAAAAAGTAGAAAATGCCAAAAGTAGAAAATGCAAAAAGTAGAAAATGCAAAAAGTAGAAAATGCAAAAAGTAGAAAAAGTAAAAAGCAGAAAATGCCAAAAGTAGAAAATGCAAAAAGTAGAAAATGCCAAAAGTAGAAAAAGCAAAAAGTAGAAAATGCCAAAAGTAGAAAAAGCAAAAATTTCCCAAACTATTCACTCTTTTGCACTGTTTTCTTGCCTTGTTTGACTTCATAACAAATGTTTTTCTTGATATTCTCAGTTTGTAATCTTCTTTATTCATTACATGCTAAACGAATTTGCTAGACAACATTGGCTTGTTTTAAGGCTCTTGCGCAGCCAGCACCCTTCGCAACTTAAATTCAAAGAACCGGCCTAATATTGTGCTGCTTGAAAATACAAAACATAGTCAATTCCTCTAGACAACTGCCGCAAAGCATGTCGGTTATGCAAAAGCCTTTAAAGTAGATGGTCTTCTGAACAAAAAGATCCAGCTTCCATGAATACAAATCTATTTGTGTTTTTATCGATCTTGGTGCCATGTTTTCTTTTCAATAATCCGTTCATCCTCTCATTGTTTGATGCTAAACTGTCTTTTTGATTATTTTCAGCAAGAATGAATGCAGCAGCTAGAAGCAGAAACGTCTACTTCGATGCCATTGGTGGAGACCCATATGGTACGTAGGCCTTCGTTGATTTTTGGAAATAAAAACTTCATGTCAGTAACCTCTCATCATGTCACCTACTAAAGATATTACTACCAATCACGTAGTTAAAAATTGTTTATTTTGTGATCTTCGTCCTAAGAAATTTCATCTTTTCTCAGTTGGGTTTTATTCAAGCAATTTTGTCTGAGTATTTCTTTTGATATTTCAGGCAGTGCCAGCGGAGTCCTCTCACGCCAAACAATCAACTTCCACCGCAGCAGACGATCAACTGGAGAGTATCAAATGAGGAATCGGCTAAGTCAGTATCATAACAAAATTATACCTCAATAACCTTGTTTAAGAAGCCAGATAGGGTTACCTGATGAGGGGGTGGGGGTTACCATTGAGGGCTTCGGTAATCTTGCTTACAGGCTAGGCTGAAGGGTAGCCTGCGTACAGATTCTACTTTATTTTTTAAATCTGGGTGGTTGGTGCACTGTTTCATACTTTGCGTTAAATTGAATTGAAAATTCATTGATACTATTCCTGAACCTGAAGATGCGAAAATCGCAAATATTCCATGAGAATTTTATAAGTGCAGATTGACCAATTCTTGCTTTCAATAATAATAATCTTAGTTTCTCTGTCAAACTGTATAAAACTTAACTTTTCATCCTCCACAGAGTTTGTAAGTGATGAAATCACGAAACAATGCTTTAGAATTTTTTTCAATTTTGACCACATTAAAAGCATTACAGAATTCTAAGGAATGTACAAATCATTTTAGATGTTTTAAAAATTGGTTGAAATACTTTAAATCAATCATTGGCCATATCTCACTCGATTTTTAATATATGCAACTAATTTTGCATAAATTAAGAGGTATTTCATGGTGCTCATTTTGGCTATGTTGTCACATTTTCGTCAGAGTAGTACAAAACACTAAATAGTAAATTTCCACCCGACATTTATATTTTCTTCAGAGTATAAGATGTCAGATAGTACACTTTCATCCGACATTTGTTTTTTGTCAGAGTAAAAACGTTAGGATCCAAAATGACTAGAAATTATAAGTTGTGCATTCGACTAATACCTGGCTTTGGCTAATCAATATCCAGAGATCGGGTGTACATTTTCGTATACCCCATGCTTCCAATTTTTAATGTGACCTTGAAATGTCTATTTGCAGTACGAAAGATTCATCTTCTGCTCTGTATTTTTTTACGACATCACTTTGTTTATTTTAGGGCGCCAGACTAGAAGCCGTGTCCCATACTTGGGACAAGATCTGGACAAAATGGGAATCGTTCGAGCCGTGCCAGTAATGGGTGGATCCCAGAATTTTAACCAGAACGCACTGCCAAGTTTCATGAAAGGTAACAGCAGTTATTTGTTGACATGGTTAACATTCTTTAGACCTCTGAAGTCCAGATACCCTCTTTGTTTAAGAACTCACTTTATAGTAATACCGAGACTCGATTTTCCAAAAAATAAAGAAAATTTTAAGAACATTATTAGCCTGATAAATTGGTAAATTAGATAAATAAGCTCTACCAATGATAAATTAGAAGCAAAAATATGTGTTTTGGAAATTTGCTCTCTCTTGACAGAGTAGAGTAGATTTTGCCAGGTGATGACCGTTGTCACCAGAAATGCCATGCAAAACTGTTGTCTAGTTGTCGTAAAAACAACTAAAAGAATAAAACTGTATACTCGATCCACACATTATTAGAAAAATAAGAACACCGAGCCTCGGCAAAATTATTAAGTGCGAGGATGGCTCAGTTGTTAGAGGCGTTGACTACACACCCAAGGGTCCGTGGTTCGAGTCCCCGGCACAACCCAACTTTCACCAAGAGTGAGGAGAGTCACCAACTCTCTGTTATTCCAGGCATAGGAATCATGAGGTGTTGTCACATCGAGAGGAAGGACCAGGACACTGCTCGATAAGCATGAGCTTCTCAGTGTCCTAAAAACTACCTTTGGATGCTAAGTAGAAACAAATACAAATACGAATACAAACATCTTATATAAAAAGGAGTACACTCAGACTGACTGTTCTTACTTTTTCGAAAAATCTGAGGCAATGGCTAGCTTTTGAATTAATAGGTTGTAAAGAGTGCAATGGCTAGCTTTTTCGCCCTAGGGAGGTGTTCAGGCCCCATTTGCCAACAAAATGACCGAGATAACCTTCATTTGCCGACAAGTTTGAATATTACCGAAGAAGCACCCACACATGGCTAAAAATCATCGTAATTAAGATGAAACGTTGTTCAAAATTGCATTTTACATCAGCTCAGCCTCAGTTTGTTCTTGATTTAAAGCAGGGTTTATACATAGTTCACGTCCAACAAAGCTCTTTGTACAGTTCACGATCTGTTATGAAAGTCAACATTATTGTTTATCACGAGAGATTGGAATTTTAGAACAATCCAGGTTGCAAAAAGACGTAGACATAAAAACACAGGAGCAACACATTATTAAAAAAAAAGGTAGGGCACGGAGCTTCAGCAAAAATTGTCTGTAAAAGTGGTTACAAAGACCACATCAAAGGCTTCTTTCATTCATAATCACACAAGAAAAGCGCAGCCCCTCAAGGAACCAAGTTATTTTAAATTATTTTTGACGCACGTTTTACGATTTTAGAGGTTTGAACATTTTCTGGACTTGCTTGAAGCAGAGTCGAGAAAAATTTTTAACCTTCCTCCAGACGAAAACATCCAAGAAGGCAAACCTTCCTCACAAAACAATAGAAAGTGGGCGTGGCTTGGGTCTGTCATAGGAGCTTCTATTGTTTTTGGTGGACCTTCCCCCGGTCAGTGGCCGTGCGACCGTAATGTTTTCCTGACTCTGGCCTGAAGTTCAAAAATCGGGATTATGACTATAAGCATTGGCGGACTCAAATAAGTCAGAGTTGGATCAAATGCACCAACAGGAAAGATGAGGTGACTGGATGGCTTCTGTTCAACCAAATCCCACCGCTATCGATCAGAATACGTCACATGTGATGTAATCTGTATTCCTGTCGGGTTTACCATTTTTGCCTTGCATTTCCGATGATAAAGGTGTTAAAGGCCTAGGTTGAAACCACTTGTTAACAAGAGGAATAAGTAACAATTTTTAATGATTGAGTCACCCCCGGCACTTGCAGCCAAGAAGCACTGCAATCAGTTATCGATATCTATGCGCTTGCTTTATATCTTCAAGGAAAGGGCAGGGGGCATTGGACATGAGAGTTTTGTTTGTTCGTGTTTGTTAGAACGTCTATCTTGCGGAAATTTGGCTGCAGAGAAGAAAGGAAAAATACATAAAAATATTTTTCCGCATTTCTCCTTCGCAGCTACATTTCCCCAAGTCATTTTTTCGCAGTAGGAATATAGAATAAACTACAGAATAAACAGTACTTACAGAATAAACAGCAAAGACTATCGCCAAAAATCTTTCAACTGCGAAACCTCTCAGTAGAATATTTTATTGTTATATCTAATATATCAAATATAGATCTATATTGAAATATATTGATATATAGTATTTGAGAGTAGTATGAATATAAAGTTGCAGAAAAATTTGCAAAAATACTGAATCCGCCGGAGAGAGACAATTGAAAACAAAAGAATTTCAACAACGTTACGTAGATGATGCCTGATATTTGTTGTTTTGAGAAAGTTCTAGAAGCTTTTAACATATTGACCGAAGAAAGGAACTCTTTTTTGACTTGATGTAAAATATTTTGCGTAACAACAGATTTCTGCCTGTTATATATACAAAATATATTTGTGCCGACTTTGGTGGCACTTTTACATTATCAAATTTATGCAACAGGATTATCCAATATATGTAGCTCTTATTTTTATGCTTTTTCTTTCAGTTCATGCTGCGGAATTCGGGAGCCTTACATCATCGCAGGACCAAAGCATCGAAGCACCACGGCAGGTTCAGCCAATTTTCCAGAGAAGTGAAATTCCATTTGGTTTGTATTGATTATCATCGCGGTTGGTCGTTTCATGAATTTATAAAGTTATGTCATCCTCGAATACTATATCACCCTCTACTTTACCTTACACAGATTCCACGCCTCGAAGTTTAAAGGCAATCTGTCACAACGTTGATTGGTTATAAGAACAAAGGGATTTTTATTGTTTCCAGTCCCCCTTTAATTTATCGCATTGTAAAAAATATGGCGGAACGCTGGAATCGTGTTTAGACTATTGTTCCAGGTATTGTTCTCGTTACCCAATCCACAACGAGACGTCTTCACTTTTCATTGCAGCTTTGAAATCATTTGCTTTGCAAAAAAGTGGGGCGTGGCGTGGGCCCTGTTACAGTATCATTTTAGACAATAACAATGATTGTGGTCAGGACCGTCGCTAGGGTGGCGGGGTCGTGTTTGTGCAGAGTATCAAAATGCCCAAAGTTTCCTGGGACTTAGAACTCCAGTGAGGGGCTTAAACCTTCTGCTTTCCAAGCCATTGCGCCCTTGTTCCTAATCAAAACCACTTTTTCTTGTCGTAGTTCCACAGGCATTCGCAAAACGAGCCAACAGTAAAAGAGACGTAATTGGTAAGTGATCAGATTATAATCAATTTTTTTCTTTGGAGAGAGTTGAAATGGAAGTAATAACTTTGAAAATGAATAAACTGTGTCGCAAGCAAGTTCAAGAAAAGTAAGTTGGAGGTGTTTAAAGTTCGTGGTCTAATTCACTCTTCTACTGTCGATCGCAGAAAATTTGGGGAGAAAATTATTTGTTTGCTGTTTGGTGTTGTCTTTTATTATAAAAGGTTTCGTTATTCAAAGATATCCGTTAACTGCTTTCCGGGCCTTTCAAAATTTACATAACAGCCTAAAGGGAGGGGTACCCATTTTTGTGACATTTTGTCATGATAATTTGGTGGCAGGAGTGCAATGGTCAACATGGAACAAAAATTTTCAAAAATGATTTCCCATGCCCCTTGTTTCCCACGCTGTAATGGTTTCATGCTGCATCGAACTTTCGAACTTCAAACTTTCGAACTTTCGAACTTTCGAACTTTCAAAAACAATCAAAACATTGTCACCTTCACTTTCCATGTAAGCAAGTGCACAACCTTTTGATTACATCACACATCACAAGGAGAAACCAGATATTACAATGTGTAACAAAGAGGAGAGAAAAAGGAATTTGGCGTTACATTATCTTTCAACAACCCCTTTCCATTTTATAAGCATTCAGAAAATTTATTGTTATTTATCATTTTCTACCATAGAGCGATTAAACCGTGCTGCAAGGCATCGCAACGTCTATCTTGACTCGTATAGCAACGGAGCAGCCGGTAAACGAACGAATATTATGAATTTTTCTCCAAATGATTTTTACTAATCAAAGTTGACAACGTCTTTTTACTTTGCTTCAGAATATCGTACCAGCACTGACGCCAAGGTTTACAAGAGGCTGCATGCTTTCTCAAGGATTGTCCCCATTTTTACTGACTAGGGTGGTACAATAGCCCCCTTTTCCCCCTATCATTATACACATTTTCAAAACCACATTTTCACATTTTCATATCTGAACAAGGCTCCACAAACCCTAATAGTGCAACGCATAACTTTTTTTATCAAATTTATCCCAATACTTTTTTAACGTAAGTGTAATAACTCTTTTATAACACATTGAAGTTGCACTCTAACTTGGTATGTTCCAAAAAGCCCTGCCTGGACGTTCTTGCAGAAAGTATCGCCTCTTTAACTTCAAGATGTTTTGTTTTGATTTGTAAATGTGTTTTCTAATGTCTAAAACTTGTTTCTTGTTTTTAGCTGGTCTTGGAGGAGTTCTGAGTCGCCAAAATTTCCTTTTGTCAAAACACAAAAGAAGATTTGCAGAAGAAGATTACTGAAGGTTTACTTGTAATTTGATTTATTTCAATATTCGTCTTTATTTCACTTTTTGAAGATTCTGTTAACAAACTATGAATTGTTATCTAATCTAATTTTCATTTAGACTTCAACCATGTTGGCTTTTGTCTCCTTTTGGGCTCCTTTATGTCGTGTTTGCTACTGTTAGATGCTCAATTTCCAAGATTTTGTAGACTACAAAAAGTGACAGAAAGCTATTTCCCATACCCAGAATTTTGTCGTACTCCTAAGCTCCATGCCTCCCCCCTCCATTAAGTATGAATTTTTTTCAGACCGCTTGGAAAGGACAATCACAAAGAAGCTGGCACTCACTGTAATATGCCAGCCTCCCTAAAAGTTTTAAGAGTGCTCCATCTGAAGTCAATTCTCAGTACTGCCCCTGCAATATCTAGCCTGTGTGCAGACTCTACGGGGGAGGAAAAAATCCAGGGGGAGAGGAAAGTAGAATCTACTTTGTCCTCTATAGAGTCTGCACGCAGGCTAGTAATAACCACAGGTAAAAATGATATAAGATCAAGGTTGAAAATTACATTATTGTCACGAGCGCGTATCTAATGTCCTTCTCTGGTCGTGACACTTACTCACATTTACAATTCATATCACTTTCTATCTCTATTCATGTGACAATTCCTATCTCTTAATTGCAGGTTCTTTACTGAAGCGAGGCAGGAAGGCTAAACATGGTCACTCCACGTCAATCCATGTACTTAACAAAACTTGTAAATAATATTGTGAACCGTTAAAAAAGTTAACCTGTTGCCCATTTGCACCAAATATTTGCTTCGTACTTTGATTTCTGATTAGTTGATAGATTTGACATTTTATTGTCTCCATTATCTTGTTTGTCTCTTCCTTCTCATTAAATCTCATAAATCTTTTAATTATCCTGTACTGTATGTGTATATGTCGATATTTTTTTTGGGGGGGGGGGGGGAGGCTGGGGGAGAGCACAGATAGAGTGTTTCTGTTTGATGAATAATTCACAGCTCATTGCAGCGTTCAGACTATGCAGAGCCTGCCAGAAATCTGTCGAAGCACTTGTCTAGCGATTCAGTAATCCTTCTAAAGCTTCAATAACCTTAAGACTTTTTGAACATTTTCTCGAAGCTGTTTAGCACACGTTCAGTTCAGCACGCGCACAGTTCAGCAAGCTAATCTAAACGAGGGGAGAATCACTAACTTTCAAAACGAATGTTTTTTGCCCAATATCGTGAATAAATTTGTGGTGTGTCAATTTGAAACCAATCGGTAAAAAATAAATTTGGACCATCTGGTAATCTGGTAACTGCTATTTATATGGAGGGGGGGGGGGGGTACATGATGATAGCCTCAATATTTGAGGTCTCTTTGAACCTTGGTCGAAATCTTAAGAGGACCTCTTGAACTGAAGAAAGTACCCCCGGAATTGATGAGAGGTTAAATTATATATATAGAACGCCTCTGGCCATTGGGCATCAACTCTACCACGCCTTTTCAAAGGGTGATTCCAATTACTTTATCACTTAGATGAAAGAGTGAATTGTTACCCTCCGCGATAAGAACATATATGGTTCTGATTCATCAAAATTTATCAGAAAATGTGGCTTTCTACTTTGCTTCAAGGATTAATTGTCGAAGTAGTAGACGAGAATGAACAACAAAAAACACAAATAACTTAGTTATGGCTAGTATTTCGCTCCGGATACCGGGCTTCGTGTACAAATAATTGAACCCTGTTCTCAATTTACCTTTCGTTTAATTATTCGGGGATTTCTATTAGTTTCGACCTGTAGTTCCGAGAAAATTGCTGAAATGAACCGAATCCAAGTTTCTAAACTCTGCGCGGGTCTCGCAGCTAGGAAGTCGAAACCGATCACCCCTCCTGTCGCTCGTTCTGCGTTCAGGTGCAAGTGTTCACGTTTGTTCGGTTGCGGAAGTACCAAGGTGATTGCGGACAGAGGAACTTAGGTTCCGCTTAGCTGCCATTTTTTTGCAAAGAAACGCCTGGCAAGGTACTTTTTTTTCTGTCGTGCTGACTCACTGATTATCTGTTTTTGGAAGTATATTGAATGGGAGGAAGTGAACCACGAAAGGTTGCCATGAAGTTATGACGTCAATCGATGCACAGGGAAGGCAAACGCAAAGCTGGCAATTTCAAGACAATGTCAGAAGCTTTTGCGATATAAATACAGCGAGATATTTGGTAAGTAGACAAACAAAATACAACTTTTACCTTCTTAAAGACGAATTTATAAATTTTCATCAGATACAGGTAACTACCGCGTAGGCTCTGACGTTTGGTTTAGGCCCAAATCTTGATGTCGGAAAAATCTAGAATGAAGCTGTCAATATTTCTAAGCTGCCACGCATAGTATTCTGGCAAACACTGGCAAAGTAAATTGACCCAATATGTGGAGACGATTTTTATTCGCCTTTAAGTTTTCTCAAACATTGATTTGTGTAGCTTTGCTAATTTCGAAATGTTAAATCACTCAAATGGTTGAAATAATGGAAAAGGGAAGCAGGGTTGATTAACATATTGGGTAGAGTTAATTAAAAAATCTTTATGTAATGAAACATAATGCAAAGAACATCTAACTGGATATATAAATTACACGAATGTTTTCGACAGTTTTTTATTTGAGTTTGCAATTGCAATTTTGCGATTTTGGTAAAATTAGACAATAAACGGAAAACACTCCCTCTCTTCAAACTAATCTTACTTTAACTGCTTTGTTTAATACATAAATTATTTATTTTGTATAGCAGGTCAGAAGTAGTCAGCATAAAGCTGATGTGGACCTGCTTTAACTAAACCTAGGATAGAAATTTAAAAGTTACAATTTGTTAAACGAAAATAATATTGTTGAAGTTTCCGTGGTCAAAGTAACATCTAGTAGTATTTAAAATTATCCAAATCTTTCTTTTTGATTGTTGTTAAGCTATTGAAGCTTGCTGCATCTATTTCTATAGAATGTTTTGAGAGGGTCTTTTTGAAATTTTTATAGTTGTTTATACTCTTTGCACTTTCAGGCAGTCAGTTCCGCAGTAGTGCCGATCTGCTGTATTTCAATGTCTTTTTTTCTTCTTCTGTCTTTGGTCGTGGTACATTAAGTTTCAGAAGCAGCAATTTGTCAAAAGTTTCAAGTAAGGGATTTTAGGAATTTCTTGAACACAGGAGCAAAAGTCCTGGTAAAATTCGGACATAGCCTATTAAAAATGTTTTTGATATGTTAAAAAGGTTAACATTAATAGACTAATTATTTTGTTTATCAATCCATTAACCATAACTTATCAACCAATATAAGTTAAGCATCAAATTGAAATTATGTAGTCTAAAATGAATATCATCTTTTCCAGAGTATGGGTTTCAAATATCAATCATTTTATTAGTCTAACGTCACATGTAACAAGTAATTTTTATATACAGTAATACAAAATCTTGTAGTATTTAATTCACCATGATTACAACTTATTCTTAAAACTAGTCTGCAATCACCTAAATGTTTAAGCTAGTGCCTAGTCTGACTTTCTTTGATATCCGATTCTAAAAATACTGCACCTTGCCAGAAACAAAACTCCAGTTTCCTCTGTCAAAAGCCACAGTAATTCCACTGAGCCAAACGGCTGGAGAATTCTGAGCTCTTTTCTGCTTTAGAAGCAACATAAATATCGTTAACTTATTTTATCAAACTTTGTTTATTCAGTGCCAGCAACTTTGTTTATGTTTCTTTAGCATTTCATTTCATTTCAAAATTCTACTAAATACTGAAATTTGCAACAGTTAACAAGGATTACATAACAAGATTACAACAAGAGAAGAACAAAAAATTGCTATAAATAATTACAGAAATTAAATGGAAATTTGTATGGAGAGGAACTTCTTAAAGAGGGGCTCTCTCAATAGATAAACTAATCAAGGATAACCTAATGTTTAGCATAATCAATTCATTGTGTAGCACATTTGGCAGTGTAGTAATTGGCAGGGACCCTAGAGCATATTACAGATTGAGGGGGCTAAAATGTTTTTGGGGGGCTAAAAATGCTAAAAACCAAGAGCAGAGCAATTTCTGTATTGTTTTAAGTACATTTTGGAAATCATTGGGGGCTAAAACCCCAGTAGCCCTCCCACTTCTGTGGTCCCTGGTGATTAGCTGGTTTCTTGAAATAGAAGTTAAATGCTTTCTTTACTGATTTCCTTGGGTGATGAGTAAACTGTGAATTACTTGAACCCCTAATAACTCGAACATTTATAAGTCAAACTGATTTTGCATTCCCCTCAAACTTTAAACAAAACTTTGTATAAAAACCCTCCTGATAACTCAAACCCCCTTGGAGTTAATTGTGGTGTTTAATTTGGAAGTTAGATTTAGGTGTAATTTTAAGTTAATCAGTAGCCTTAAAGGAATATTTGGAGAAATATTTAAATCCTTTTAGCAATTTGGATACAAATGAAACTTATCAGAGAAAGCATCTGTTAGGTCTTTAATTGTCTTTAAATGTTTTTAATGCATTATTATTTGAATGTTTTTTATTTGTACAACTTTCTAATTCAAACATTGCGGACTTTTACATTTGCCAATTGTTGAACCAAAGAAGTCTTAATTTATTTATAAAAGTATATAATTGCAATAATTTCTAGTGACTGTTATTTGTTTCTATTGAGAAGAATCTCTGATTTAAGTCGTATTTCGTAATTGAGCCATGTTTTCTCATCTGTATAGTTTCCTCAGATTATGTTGTTTTTGTCTTGAGAAACAACTTTAATGCATTAGGTTCTACAAATTCATGCCTTTACCAGAAAGGCGCTTGATCAACGACATCACTTTAAGGTGCACTTGAAAACAACAATGGAGAGCAGTTTAATGAGCATCTGAAAATTCAGGCCTTGCCACGAAGAAAAAGATTTTCTAAAATAATGATCTTCAAACTCAAGCTGTCATCTCAAAATACCACAATAATATGATTTCTAAGAATTTTACAACAGTTTATTTCACTAATCATTTTGATGACATTTTATGACAGTTTCTTTTAAGGCCACATCTACAAGAATAAATTGGAAAATGAAAATCTCTATTCATCAAAAATACAAATGTATGCAAATAATTTGATAGTTGAATCATTTGAAAATGCAATTATATATTTGGGAATGCCTTGATTGTTTGGATGTAAAACATTTGCATTTTCATCAAGAGGAAAATGCAGTTTTTTAGAAAATGGATGTGTGTAGTAATTGCATGAGACCTGTTCACATGATACTGTTTACAAAAAATACCACACAATATTATACCAGGGCTGTGGTGCTATGGGAGCTCAATCCACATCATCACTGCAAAAAAGGAGCGGTTTTTTATTTTTGCTCTTATTTTGCAACATTTTGTACATCTTCCAAAGATGACCAGGAGGCAGTTTATTTAAAAGCATGAAATATAGGGTCTTGTGTTTTTTTAAGAGCTCCTTCTAGCACCTACATTTTGCTTAGAGCAAGGCCTGATAATTTGCCTGGAATTATCATGTTTGAAGGTCTAAAACAAATGTTCTAATATGCTGTATGTTGAAAGCATCTTTTAATACAAAAGTATTTGATTATGTAACCTGTATTTTTGCTTTTCAGGTATGATTAGGACATCTGCTGCAAAGTGGGATCATTTGCATTGTTGGATTATGAAATGAAATTCTGTGACAAATCTTACTAAAGTAAGTCTTATTGTGGTTGTATATTCTTTTTTGTAGTGGATATGGGGACTGTCTTATAAAATTCCTGGAGCAAAAAGGAACTGCTTTACTAACTACAAATCCTGTGTTGTGTAATGAAGTTTTTGATATACTAGTGGCTCAGGAAGAGGCAAAGAATAAT